CAGACTCCAGCAGATTTCCCGGTTTGGTTGTCGCGATTCAAGAAAGAAGTTGGCATTACGACAGATGCCGAAGCCGTTGATCCCAAAGAGTTGGCAGCGCTAGGGAAATGAAAATTCCCCAGCTCCTTCAAGGAGAATACAATAAGTAATCTCAATTGCCATGGCCAGACGGCAAAGGTGAAATCAAGATTTTGTGGTCATTTTATGAGCGGAACCTTTGAACTGAGACTCAAGCTTCGTCTAGCGTAGGAGTCGATGCGCACTAGATATACCAGAGGCGTAACTAGGGGGTTGTAGTGTGTTAGTCTATGTGGGTACGTGGGCTTGAGTTTCCAGCCCTCACAATCCCGAATCAGCCCTATCTTCGGCATTCCGTATCGCATGCACCTTTTCCCCCATCCAAAGATCATACAGTTACTGTCTTCTTGTCCTCGTCCCCTCTAAGAATAGCGTGGAAACCAGGTACGCCCAAACGCAGAGTAGTCTCTAAGCCGAGGACTGTTCAAAGTCGAGGACTGTTCAAAGTCGATTCGTATGAAATCCGCGCACAGACGCAATGTCGGTAGTACAAAGGGTGCATTGAAGAGTGGACGGCTTGCGATGCTTGGGACCATCTCGTAATTACGTAGCGTCGCTTGGCAATGACTAGTCCGCATTACCCCAGAGGCTCTTTCTCCGCATTCCATCCCGCTCCATTCAATCCACCAACCCAAGAGTCCAAACTTTGCCCGTACTTGTCTGCAAAAGTAGCATATTTCTCGCTGGTGGGAGAGGATTGTTCTGGCAGATGTACCTCATCTCGCATTTTGGCAGTCATATTCATTTAACTACTTTCTAACAAAAAGTCTAAGATTCACAACGCAACGGCCCTCACTGGGGTTGGCTTGAGCTTTACCCAAAACAGGATGCCGCCCGACAAGCGGCAACTTTTTGCGATGAGCGACGCAAGCATGTAGTAAAATGAATTCCAGGAGGTGGCTGTTTAGGCAAAAAGAACGGCTGTCGGCTCTGCCGTCACGAGACCATAGCATTCATTGGTTGATCGGCGCCTCCCTTTCGTTGCACATCTCCACATACGGGAGAATTACGTCCGAAGCAGTTTGTATAAGAGTCTTTGCTCCCCATGGGGGACTACAATTGTTTGGGGGTCATAGAACTCCGGCCAAATATCGTTGACAAAACAGACAGAGTGTTATGCGATCCAGTCGCATGTGATCCTCGAACTAAAGATATCTACTTGTGAGATAGTAGAGTCCGGTCACGCCATGGTATGTTCTGAATGCTGCTTACATTCAACCCACACTCACGAGTCCCCCCGCCATTCGACTCCGCGATTGCGCACGTGAAAGCTGAGCTGACCATCACAGTGATATCTGGAGACATGCCGTATAGGGCACTCCACCTCTGCGCGATAGCTGTCATTCCACACTGCCGCACCTGTCTCCCAGTACCCCCTCGGTCTCCCGAACATTATCCGGCCTCAAAATTTGCTCCAGGGGCCATGTCCTGGATACCGGCACTGCTTCACGATACTCGCCCCGCCACGCAATCACTAGACTCCACCATGGCCCTCTTTTTCTTGAAATCTTCAGGGACCTGGATTGAGGTTTTTCCTGCATTGTGAAGCGATGTGGGACGCTAGGCGCTGCAACCTCGGAGTCGGAGATGAAGTTTTCATCATACGTCGGCCAAGACCGGCGCACGTCAGGACAACCACGAAACTTGCACACAGTGGCACACTTTCAATGAAGCTGATAGGCTTTCCAGAAAAATCCATGTGTCGCAGACGCAGCAGCAATCGCCGCCATTGTCGGACTCACACTATCCTGTGCTGTGCAGCATACAGCACACATTTTTAGGACTGCTGGCCAGGGGCGAGGACACTGATCGAGACATGATGCGAAGAAATCTGCAGCTACACCAGATGTAGCAGTTTGACTGCATGAGTCGCATCAAATGCATATCTTTCAGTCGAACCACTTTTTGGTGCACACTCCTGGGCTTCCGAATCCGACCACCCACCATTCAACAAAGTCTTGAGGCTCTGCGGCAGTCATCCGTGCCGCCACGTCCGTGCACGCAGTTCGCCTGCACCACGTTATGTCATCGGAGCCACTTGTTCGCCTTGTCGACATCGCAGACGCGTCTATACCCTAGTATAAACGGCAAACTCAATCGCCTAATCTGTCCATTGGTCGGATGTCGGATGCACGACAGCCATTCATATCCGCACATATGTGGTCGTGAGCACTTGATGGTTCTTTAGACCCTTGCTGTTGCTCCTGTCTGCAGAGCTTCCAGTAAATGTTCATTTACTGCCCGTCTTTCCTATCATTCAAAAAGTGCTGCGGAGTCCATTGACGGTATCATTCGGGCGCTAATTGCAAACGAAAAAAAAACACATTGTTCAGGTGCAACAACGTCGGTGGGCCGATCAAAACGCTATCAACGTCCGTGCGTTCTGGCGTCCAACTGCTGTCCGATGTTGAGCGGTTCAGAAATTTTGCAGTCGGCAGACCTCCGCCTTGGGCTCTCTTGTGAGAGGTTGCCCCATGGTCAGCTCCAACCTGACATTGCGATGTCATCATTCGCCCCGTTCTCCCCGGGCTCGTGCGAGCATTTCCCCTTTCCCCTCCATGCTTAGGGCTTCTGGAAAAACTTGGTCTTGCGGACATGCGGATGAAACTGGCACTGGGGCTCCACTGCCAATAGACCCTACGTGCAAACCCCGTCTCCGCGTAGTGTCGCTATATATACAGTACAACGTCCCCCTCGAAATCCACACTGGTCTCCTCTTCTCCAGCTTCTCTCCAGCTCAGCCTCCGTGAGAAGTACACCCCACGCTGTGGACCAGCTAATTCTTAGTCTACCAACATTTCCCTTACATATCTTTAATCAACCACCGCACGCCAGGATGGTCTTGTCGCGTTTCTTCAGTAAAAAGACTGCAGCTGATGGAGTGCCGGGAAAGGGAACTCCTGAAAGCGGCACTCCTGCTGGCACACCAGCCAGGGGCAACTCCGATGCTGCTCAACATGCAGCTCTTGAGCCAAAAGGCCGAGTACCTGCTATTGCTGTTATTCTTGGTGCTGTTGCTAGTATCGGTGGCTTCATGTTCGGCTACGAGTCTGGACAAATTTCCGGTTTCCTTGAGATGGATGATTTCAAGAACCGCTTTGGCGACGACGGCAAATTCTCTGCTGTGCGCCAAGGTGCCATTGTCGGTCTTCTGGCGTAAGTATTAGCTCCGATTATGAAGTGAATACCTCTAACCAGTAACCAGTGTCGGTACCCTCTTTGGATGCTTAGGCTCAGCTCCCCTTGCTGACACCTTCGGTCGTCGTCTTACCATCTCCGGTTCCGCCTTCTTCTACATTATCGGTGTGATCATTGAAATCACCAGCAAGGATGTCTGGGTACAGTTCGCAATGGGTCGATTTGCCGCTGGTCTTGGTATCGGAGCTCTTTCGACCGTCGTACCCATGTACCAATCCGAGTCTATTCCCAAGCGAATTCGCGGCGCTACTGTTTCCTCCTACCAACTCTTCATCACCCTTGGTATCTGGACCGCGTACATGGTCAACTATGGCACCGAGAAGAGCTACATCAACAGCGCTCAGTGGCGTATCCCCAACGGTCTCTCCGCTCTCTGGGCTATTCTGCTTGGTACCACCATCTTGCTCCTGCCAGAGTCCCCTCGCTACGCATACCGCAAAGGCAAGGTTGAGGATGCTCGCACAAACACGGCCCGCTTGAACGGCGTCGACCCTCACAGCCCCTTTATCGATGCTGAGATTGCCGAGATTCAGGAGAAGCTCGAAGCCGAAGCCGCTGGTGGCGATCACCCATGGCACGAAATCTTTACCGGCCCTCGCATGCTTTACCGTACTCTACTCGGAATGGTTCTCCAGGCTGGTCAGCAACTTACCGGTGCTAACTACTTCTTTTACTACGGCACAACTATTTTCGCCGCGACCGGTCTCAGCAACTCGTATGTCACCTCCATCATTCTCGGAACCGTCAACGTTGTTGCCACCATCGCTGGTCTCTGGATTGTCGAGAATGTCGGCCGCCGCAAGGCCATGATGGCTGGTGCTGCCTGGATGGCCATTTGCCTCTTCATTTACTCCTTCATTGGCCACTACCAGCTTGACCACCAGAACCCTCTCAGTACCCCTCAAGCCGGAAACATCATGATTGTATTCACCTGCCTGTTCATCGCAGCTTTCGCTACCACTTGGGGACCTCTTGTCTGGGCTATTGTCGGTGAGCTGTACCCTGCTCGCTACCGTGCTACTTGCATGGGTCTTGCTACCGCATCCAACTGGCTCTTCAACTTCATCATTTCCTTCTGCTCCACTCTGATTACCGACCGCATCGACTACTTCTACGGTCTCGTCTTCGCCGTCTCCCTCGTCATCCTCTTCTTCATTGTGTATTTCTTCATGATCGAGACCAAGGGCCGCTCTCTCGAGGAGATTGATACCATGTACGTCTTGCACGTCAACCCCATCACTAGCAGCAAGTGGGACCCATCCACTCTCCAGAAAGACGGCCTTGTTGACACGGACCGTCTGCACATGGGTCCTGGTGGCCGTACTTTCAGTAAGGCAGAACAGAGCGGTACCCACGGCGGTATCCTGGAGCCTGCGGAGAGGAATGAGATCCAGGTGTAAGCAGTTTGGACGTTGAGCATTAAGAAGTTGCATTTTAATGGCGCTTGAGTGGTTTGCATATGCTTGATTTGCCCATAGAGGCTCTGGTGGGATTGGCATGGAAGAAAAAATATATATATGATACCTTTGTAATGATTTCGATGTTGGGTTGAATGAACCGGGCTTTTTTATTAGCACTTTTTAGCATCATCAAATAGAATGACATGCGTTAAGAGCAAAATAATCTATCAATACCTTGCAATGTTCTAAGCAAGTATTTTTGCTCGTGCAACTACAGCTTCTCAAAAACTCCGAACGCATAATTGAATTTTTCCAACTGAACTCTCAAGATCTCGGATCCTTGGCTCCAATATCGTTACTCTCCTGCGCCCATCCCTCCTTTCCCTCCCCCGGCCTCACCACTTTGTCCTGAGCAGACTCGGCCTCGGGTTCCGCGGCCCACTTTTTCAGTACATCCAATCCCACGCTGTTCAATGCCTTGATATGTGTAGATTCCAGCTTGACCTTGGGCACCTCTCCGATTTCCTTTTCCGCTGCATTTTTCCACACGGAAGCTTCGAGGCAAAAGCGTTGGCCGGGGCCCACGCCGGCTTTCCGCAGGTCCGTTCCGTTGGAGGAAGAGAAGTCGAGGAAGGCGTTTGTTAGGATCACGGCGATGGGGTTGCTGCTATCACACATTCCTGCATGAATGGAGGAGGGCAGCGAAGATGAGCCATTCCTTTCTGAGGAGTGCTTATGTAGTGGCGCGTTGAAAACTGCGAGGTATCAGGTTGAGATGGAAGTGGTTTACTCTATGAAGACGCACCATTCTTTTGCTTGACGTCGATTTGCCCTTGCTCGTTCTTTCCTGACATCTCAACGGTCTGATTATCTGATATCAATTGTTTTGGGAAGCTGAAGTCGAGTTCTGTGGAGCTTAGGGGTGAATTGTAATGCAATCAAGTCCAAGTCTTGATTCAAGACGAACTGGTGTGACCTGCTATAGCTGAATTTTAAGCAAAACTTGGAATCATTCAGTTCACCTTGAAATTCCGCGTCTAACTCCCTTTGCACAAAGCACTTCGTAAGAATGATGCCTTCATGACTTCCCTCGGCTTGTATCTTGACGTCAGAGACTGGAAAACGGTTGAGAAGTTACTTCCACGCTCTAGGTTCATATGCGAGACATTTCACGTTCAAGATATCAAGTATATAAACCTACTGGTCCCCCAAATCTCAGATTGGATGTGTCGTCGCAAACCAAGAGACTGAGCAGTGGTATCAACGCCTGGGAGTGTATTACGCTAAACCCAATATGCACTAGCGTTTATTTCACCAACTTCGCCTTCTTCAATGAGCAATTCATCTGTCCTTACCGCCACACACCACACACACGACAACCACTACCATGATAACATAAGAGCCGCGCACGCTACACCTATTTTCACACCGCCACCTATCCATTCACATCGCCTCACACCAACTACGCAATACTCCTTGGCGCGTCCATCCCAAAGCGCCCTGTCCCATACTAGTAGGTGTTAACAAGTCGGTGATTGGCAAGCACCGACATGCCGACCAGACTCGCACAGCCCAGCCCCATCACGCACACATGGCCGATTCATCTCACGATGCAATCATCGGGCCATGAGGCTGTACAGCCACGTCGGACAGAGCCAAGGAAGCGTACACGCGTTCACGTGTGCTGTGGCCGTCATTAGTACCACACCATGTGTCGAAAGCGCCGAGCTGGGCCAATGAAGCCGAAAAAGAAGAGCGCTGGCAACTGGAAAGTACAGTGTTGTTCGAGTCAGCGTCGCGTTCGCCCTGTTACGTTCACCGATGCATGCAAAGAGAGATACCTAATTTGACTCAAGAGGTTACACCCATGCTGCCTGGCTCAAACCCCCCTATGTTCTCTTCAGGCAAAAGAGCTACGTGTGAGCATGCAGATCTGCCAAAACGTTAAGTATTGTTCATAAACACTGTGGCGAGTCAGCAGAACGATTTGCAACCAAGATGAGTGATGATGGTAACGAAGCTAACCCCTAGCTTCTTTTCTTGATTTTTTCCCTCCAAGAAATGCTAGAAAGCCAGCTAGCATAGCATGTAACCATGAGAATATGACACTGGCCTCTTTACCTAATGCCGCAACCTAGTCTCATATATTCGCGGCTTACGAACCAAAGATACGAGGGCATGCACTAGGTCTATGCCTGCTTTTGTCCTTTCTGCTCAAGAATGAAGCAAAAGAAACGACGCGGTACCAGACTCCGAGAGAAAAAGTATCCTTGCATACTTTACGCACTACACTCAGCGTTGGCGAGAAATGTAACGTGCAGAATCTTTGTCCCTGGAGGAGCAGGAAGAAGCAAACATGTAAACGGCGGTCACGTAACGTTCTTTCTTCTTTTTTTCCCTTCCAATTTCCACAGCTTGATCCCCCTCCATAGTATGTGCAAGGTAGCAAGCGAGCGATCTACGGGTGTATAAAGTAGCAACTACTCATCTATGATGTAAGTCAATACGTAGTAACGTAATTGTGGTTTGTGATGCAGATGTGGCAATGACGGTTATTGCACCGGTAGAAAGCGAGGCTAACACGAATTTTTCTCATGGCCAAACTGTCAGGATGGTCACGAGGGAGTTTTGCGTCTTTAGTATCAATTGTCCGTCACCTTTGCTAACTGTTGGTTGACGTCGTTTGACATGACCGCTGCTGCAGGTCAATCTAGCAGGGCTTTGGGACGTACCGAGATGCGGGGTGCACAAGAGCAAAAGAGAGAATTGTAGACGAGGGGTGGGTTGCACGCACAAGCGTTAGTATGAGATATTTTTCTTCTGCTCGCTCTCGGCATGCACAATCGCTTGTGGAGAAGCACCGGGCGAAGCTGCATGTTGCTTGCATATGTATGTAGGCATGTATTGATGTCTGCTGCCCCGCTGTAAGTACTAGGCACATATTGTAGTGCGTCATCACAATGCACCTCTCCCCCCATCTACGGAACACCCAAAGAAAAAAAAGCACCCGGCTTCATGCAATGCAATGCAATCTGCGTCTTTTCATCTGTATAGTACAATGTCCGCGTGCATGGAGAATTTAAGAGCGTTAGTAGCCGAAACGCACTTGCTAACCCTGCAGCCGTTGGCGAATCTCGGCAACGACATTCCGGATGCGAGGCTCCTTGACCTTTTGCTCGGCACGGGTGACGGCATCGCCTATTTGAAGAATATCGCGGCCAGCTTCGCAAAAGTCGGGGCCAAGACACAGCAACGTACCAGTAGCCACAAGCGCACGGTAAACAGCTTCGGAGTCGGTAGCTGTGGTAAGAACCTTTGACAGATCGTCAAGGAGCGATAGCGCCCGGTCCGCGTTATTCTCGTAATTCAGAAGCACCGAATAGTTAATGTATAGCGTAGTGAGCGCAATGATCAAATTGCGGTTGGTAGAGGTGAGGAACGGCGACACCAAAGGATGTATGTTGTCAAACTCCTTGCTCGCAAGAAGTCTACCCTTCTCAGTCTGGAGCAGATTGCTGAGACACCGTATTGCCATCATAGTGTTGTTGGGTGGAGAGGACCCAGTGAAGACATCTGATTCGATAAGGGCTGGTAGTAGGTTTTGCTCAGGCAACACAAGGAAAGCAGCTGGCTCCTCGAAGGCAAGGACTAGCCGCAGCAGATCGAGGGCGGGCAACCGCTTTTCTGCTGGCCATTGAGTTGCTGCTTTCAGGAGAAGCTCGACACCAGTGATGTCAATTCCCTTGCCATTTCCCTTCTCAAGTGCACTGACAGTGGCGCTGAGTTGCTCAATATCCGAAGGGTTCAGCGAAATGCCCTTTTGGCCATCATCGACTAGAGCCTGGTTGAACTCTGTGAGCTTTTTGAAGATGATTTTATGGTTTCCGGCTGTAATAGGAAGGTAATCCTTTTGCGGAAGTATCTTGGGTGGCGATGGTGCGGGCTGTGGTTGCGCGGGGACCTGGTTAGCGTCTCCCGGGCGGTAGCGTGCATCTGAACCCCAGGGATCCGCGCCCTGCGCGCTACTTTGGCCTAGCGTTGCACCCTGGGTGTTTTGAATAATGAAGTTTGCGACTTGATCCAAGTAGGTAAGCGGTAGTTCGTTGTCTTCGATGAACTTACGCGCAGCCTCGTAATGGTTCTGGTTGAGATTGTATGGCAGTTTCAGCGGTGGCTTGCCATCTTCAATGTCAACGTCAAAGACATAGTCGTACTCTTTGCCAGCATGAGATATCTTGCGTCCACCGCTCCCAGCCGAATCAACTACAGTGCCAACATTCACCCATTGATTGGCGGCAGCTGACCACTGATATGCCGAAACATTCCCGTTCATCTCCTTGATCATTTGTACCTGGCCTTCCTTTGTGCCGGATCGTTGGGTAAGAAACTCGGGCCCGGGCAGCTGTTCCTTATTGATGTTGCCTACAGTTTGTTGTGGAATTGCTGATCCTTTGACATCATCGAGGAACTGTTGGATCTCGGTTTCGGCGGCATAACGAGATTGGTCGCGGGTGAAGACACGTGCGAGTTTATCACTCGCACCTGTGACGATGTCCCCATTCTCTTTACACACGGCCACTGACCATACTGAGATGGCTGGATGGGTAATAGTCTGTATACACTGGTTGTTTTCCCACACACGCACAGTCCGATCTTCACCAGCACTTACGATCCCACCGTTGGGAAGGACGGCAAGTGAGTAGATGAAGTTTTCATGGCCATGTAACTCCGCCACCTGCTTTCCAGTAATTGTCCATAGGCGGATGACGGCGTCATTGCCTGCAGAGGCGAATTGAGCTCCCGAAGGGTGGTCCGAAGGCAGTCGACAGAGAGCGCGTACGACTTCTGGTGCCTGGATGGAGCGTACTGGCGATGTACCGCCCGAGATGTTGTAGACGCGAATTTGATTATCGGCGCATCCGGTGATGATGGTGTTCTCATCAAAGGCAAGGACAGCCCACACCGACGCAGTGTGGCCCTGCAGCACGGTAGACTCACCCCATTTGCCAACCTCCCACAAGCGGGCCTCCATATCCCAGCCGCCACTCACGATATACCGACCATCTTCGCTAACGTCGAGAGCGCAGACATTGTTGCCATGTCCTATCAGCAGGGCGTCGGCGTCGGAATCGAGGGTCTTTGCGGGTGAGCGTACGTCGATGATTTGGTCTTTGCCGCCGGAAACAACAAGACCGTCGGGAAAGGAAGACGAGGGGGGGACAATGGCGAGCGAGTTGACAAACTCCTTGCCATGTGTCTTGATGGAGCTGTCCCAAACAGGTGGATTGGCTGATTGCTGTGTCCAAGCGCGTACTGTGAAGTCTCTCGAGGCGGAGAAGATGGAGGCGGGCGACGCGAAGGCTACACTTCGGACCTAGGGTGAGGGTTAGTGTGTCTGTGTGTGTAGGACGTGCACAGCCTAGGCTGGACTCACGTCGTCTTCATGGCCGCGCAGGGTGGCTGATAGCTTGAAATCGGCCATGATGGAGCTGGGCGGGGTTGCTCGAAGGGTGGGGAGAGCTGGGCAACGGGGGCGAGGGTGGAAAGAAACAGGCGCTAGTCTGTCACGGAGCCTGTGCCTGCAACCAGGAAACACATGCGAATGCGAAGCTCTCTCACACACACACGAAAAGACGACGGCACGTGGAGGACTGCGTTTCTTCGTGTCTACGGTCAAGACCAACTGCTCGGCCATTGGCGTCGTCCCACTGGCGACGTCAGCCTTTGGCGAGGCGGCCGGCCCACTCGCTCACCCTCCCCCCGGTCGCCCGTCGCCGCTTCCCTCTCCCGCCCCTTCCACTTCTGCTTCTGCCGCCTTCCCCCCTTGGCTTGGCAGAGAACACGCGCAACTCAACACCACACTTGACTCTGACCACCAACCACCAAACGTCAATCCGTTAGACCATCAGTCCTTTATTAACCCATCTGCGGCTGAGCCCAGCCCGTGCTGTTTCTCCGCGGCCTACCAATCGCGCACGCCTCTTTCTTCTTCTTCTCAGCTTGCCCTGATCGCCTAGCACCATCTAGACTGGCGATAGCGTTGCCACAACTGTATCCGATCAGATCATATCGCATCATATCTCTGTTCCATCGGCTTGGGCGTGGCTTGCGGCTTGCGGCACGTGGCCAATGCTCTGCCTGGGCCTCTTCCGTGTCAGGTCTCGAGCAGCAGTGCTCGGAGACGATACAAGCGTCTACCAAGCTCGTACTTACAGTACACACGTACATACACACATGCACTCAGTGTCCATGCTCACGATTGTTGTATCTCCGCTGCGAGCCTGCTATTGATATGTTGCAACTGGCATTGACCAACAACACCCCAAGACCCACTTGCACACAGGAATGCATGTTGAACGGGGCAGCAGAGTCGACACGGGCATAATTCCTTCGTCTCCTGTTCGTGGCAGGATGCAGCAACGTTTGAACTCTCGTTGGAGATGCACAGGTTGCAGCCGCACCAGCTGCGTCGCTGTGGCGCATCCCCAGAGAGGCACAGTGCAGCATGGTAGAATGAGTCCAAAAGTTCCCTCTTTCTTTATCTGCCGTCTCCCATCAACTCCGCCACCCCGGTTTTTTTGGCTCCATGGCCTCCATCGCGGAGGACGGCATTCGTGTTTCGCCGACTGCAAGGAGTCAGTCAGTACCAGGGAGGCTTTGATGCGCAAAGCAAATGATTGTGCATCGTCTTGCGCGTTTCCCAGGTCATTTGCCTCCTGTCATGGTGCTTGGCCGCTCGTTTGGCCAGCCTCCACGTCCCCTGGGCCTTGCATGCGCTCATGCCGCCCTCAGACGTCGCCCTCAGCATGGTACTGCAGCCACTAGACCATTAGGCTTTCGCGTGACATTCCTGACTCTGCTGTTCCAGATGCACTTGTAGCAAGGTCGCCCAGACTGGTTCTAGCCAGGAAACGCTACGCCAAAGCCAAGCCACTCGGTTCATCTGGCGAAGTGTTGCATGTCAGCTCAAATTTTGGGCCGCTTGTAGAACAGAGGGACACCCTGTGACTTGCCTGGAACCGGTCCATGGACCACCCCATGTCATCCAAATGACCGCGTCCTCCGCGACTGACGCCAGCGTGCCATTGCCGCGAGCCTGTAGGGCAAAGCCTACAAGAGAGCCTTTGTCCCGCCCAGGTGCCATCATCGCACTTTTGATCTGCACTTCTCCATAATTACCACGACAATCTTTACCCGGCCCGCCCCTACCAGCCTCATCCACCGCTCTTCACGGTCCGGCAAGTTTAGGTCCCTTTGGTTCATCAGCCTTACCATACACTCGGGCCCGCACGGCGCTTCCGTGAGATCATCGCCGACCCCTACGTACCCCTACGCACTGTTGCGTAGCAAACTAGGATTAAACCCGTCATAACAGTGCGGCCGTTGCTCTGCACTTTTTTCTTTTGCTTTTAAGCCAGGGTCCTGGGTGTACAAACATCCGCTTCAAATAGCCTCCTTCCGCCAGTCCGAGTCGACAAACACATACCAAGCAATCATACACACACACTTTACTCACACAATGGACGCCCCAATGATTGAACTCAAGTCTGCATTGGCCTCGTAAGTCGCCCCTTGTCGTCTACTCAATCCCAGCTAAGTCTTTTCAGACTGTTCCAATGTGGCCAATACTCAGATCTGACCATCGTTTGTGGAGCCAAAAGATACCAAGTACACCGTATACTTCTCGCAACCAGATCGACCTTTTTCGAGGGCGCATGTCGAGGCGGCTTCAGAGAGGCAGAGAGTGGAGTCATTGACCTGAGCGAAGATGACGCGGAGGCTGTGGAACACATGATCCACTGTAAGCATCTAAATAGCCATGGCAATCTCATGAGTTATGCTGACACTGCGCAGACTTCTATCACATGGACTACCTAAGCAAAAAACCACTTTCGCGCCGCTCTTCACAACGATCAAATCGACCAACATCCCTAGGGCAAAGGCAAACACCATCACGGAAATTCATTCTCGACCCTAGCGAAGACCCGTTATTAGCCCTTGTAGCCGCTGCTGCACCATTGACCCCTCCACCGAACGAGCCAACATTCCAGAATGTTGATGCATCCGCTAAGCTTGCCGCCACCCCGATGGTCGACCAACTTCTTGAAGACGACGATCTTGAGAGCGTAGAATTCGAGCCAGAGTCGGAAATTCAGTCTGCACATCTCGTCGCACATGCCAAAGTGTACGCAATCGCTGAGAAGTACGTACCGCTTTTCCTCACACCTTTCTGCCATGCTTGTTTTTTTTCCTTTCTCTATCCTAATCCCTGTCTCGCGGGGTGGCTTTCGTCTGCATCTGCAGAGTTGGTTCCCGTGATGCTGTGCATTGCACGGCGTTTCCAAACGCCGACCACCCCCGCCATGTGCGTCACCAACATGAACACAACACCAATCAACGCTTTTGCTGCCTTTTCCTCCACACCATGCACACCTCTTTTCTGTTTTTCCTTTTCTCCATAAGAGTACAGGACAGGCCAATGGTGGCCGTTTGCAAAAACCAAAATGCCATCTCGAAACCGAACGCGTCAGCGTTTTTCTTACCTATCCAATCACTCAGCCGCCACCGATGACAAACACGGGCTAACCATTCTTTGCAGATATGGCATCGCTGGCCTGAAAGCGCTTGCACGCAGCAAGTTTGTCGATCAGATCGACTTGCATCTCGCTAGTCCCGAGTTTCCAGAGGCATGCCAAGAGGCATACGAATCCACTTTCCACTCAGACCGCGGCCTACGAGACGTTATCATTCAGGCCTTCCGTGCAAACCCCAGCCTCTCGCTACGTCCTGACGTTGAGATGATGGTACGAGAAACGCCAGGGCTTGCATTTGAACTCTTTCGAATGGCTAGTGGCCTCCCCGTTTCCTCGTGAGATACCCATGGAATGTCTGTCTCCATCAACCCGAAACCCACAAGTTACTCCACGAGCTTGTTGGTCTGTGCCATTGCCCGTATTGCAAAAACATGCATACAAAATGGTGTCTCCTTCACCCCGTTGGTGTTCCTGTGCAGTAAGCAACGCGCGTCCATCTCTTTGCGACCCATCCCTAGACCAAGGACAATATCCTGCGACTGCACACCACAACGCGCTACAATGCTAGTTGGTGTCCCAAGCCACCCTTTGTCACAACAGCGTTCGGCAACCAACGTGAAGCGGGGGTGCTGCATGTCTCACAAATTACACCGACCTGTGCATGCACCCTCAGAACCATATCTGATTCGATGCAACCAATCGTGTGTGGAGATGATTGATCATCGGCCGGGCCTGACAATGTATATTTCTTTTACTTACTCTTTTCTTTCTTTTGAGCGTTACTGGTAATTCTAGCGATATCATTAAGCGAATTGAGCTCCTCTGGCTCACCAATCTCAACTTCACTTGCCCTGCGTGCCCCAACTTCTTATCTTGACCCTTGAGTGCTTTTTTGCATCAGATTAATTGAAGAACCGCAGCTCGGATGGATAGCGAGTAGTATTCTATGGTTGGAGAGCTCATAACGCGTCAGGTTTTGTTAAGTGTGGATGATGTAGGCTTTGTGTAACCTTGGCCAGGAACATTACTACTACACTCTTAGCAATTGATGGCTAGTGTTGCAACGACAGTCGAAAGACTTGAATGCTCTTCGGGGCGTATACTACTATCCTCCTGAATACCCATCCCCGCCTAGCAGAACTGGATACGGTGTCAGATTCCAAGCTGAGTGCGGGGGAGTGGGACGCCTAACAGTAACGATGTTTTTTTTCTGACGCAGGGACGATCTGCAAGCCTCTCCGCGGTCCGGCCCTTACACTTACATTCTTGTACCTCATACTCAAATCGCATACCAGATGGATCTACAGCTGGAAAACGCCACGCATCGGAGGCGTAGAGCTCGAAACATCACTTTTCTTTTCGCATTCCTATCAGACTTGCCGTTTCCACCCCCCCTCTTTTCTCAGCACAATGAGGCGTGCTTCCGCAATTGAGTCGTATCCTAGCTGAGCAGGGACTTGGCACATGCAAATTTGGCTAACTCGAAGAATTCCCATTTCCCCGCAGAGTCAGGTCAGTGCTTTCATTGTATCTATGGCCCGTGATAGGGTCTAGTAATCGGTTGCGGCTTCGAGGCAATCCGATCTAGCACACAAAGCACTGCAGTACGTCATACAAAGAACGCCAGTCATCCTTTGGATTGCATGCCTGAAACGCCAGGCTCAGTGGTCTCAGTAATGCTGTCTCTTTTCCTTTCTTTTTTCTGTCCGTTGGGACTTCATTCGTTCTTGTGTACGTAGCAATGGTGATGTGCACCAATGTTCTCATGCCATTGATCCAAATAATCACCAAATTTACAACAAACAACTCTCAAAGATGCTGTGCAGAGAAGGCTAGAAATCATATTTCTCTATGGAAAAAAATATGATTTTTCTTTGCAAAGAGCCATCAAGTTTATGAAAGTTAGAATTTACGAGTAGCTGCCAACGTATCCAGTATGCTTCAATATTCAGACAGCGTTGTCCTCTTGGTGACCCAACTTTCGGACCCATGCGCTGAAACGAGGAGATGGGCGTTTCCGTGTCGCTACACTTCTTTGTTTCTTTCTTTGTTTCTTTACTCTGGTTTAATATTTTGTGTCTCCGGTCAGACACGTGGTTTGATTTCAAGCGGTTGGAATGCGCGAGATGGGAAGCAAGATGCATGACAGTGGACTTGGGATGAGAAGGAGGCACGGAAGGAGATGACGAGAGACCAGGATGACGTGAAGTATACTGCGGAAGTGTAAAGAGAGACGATATCTCGCCGTGGAGAAAAGGCCGTCCAATACATCAAAATCACTTACCATCTACCTATCTGCACACTGCCGAGAGTTTCAAGTGTTTCAATCGCCATCATGCAGTTCTTGCTTTTGCTACTGCTGAGTCCGATGTCAATGCCGATGCTGCTGCTCTCGCCTACATGTCTTCGATCGAGGAATGCGGTTCCCTAGGTGTGTGTCGTCTCTTCTTCATTTCAGGGCCTCGTCAATATTGCTCTTGCTAACCCTCGATAAATAAGTCATGCAGGTTCGCGAGAATGCCGACCCTGCCCAATACCGCAAGTGCGCTGAGTACACACTGGGAGACAAATACCGTATCTGCAGCGACACTTCGTTCGCTCTAACCAACGAGTCGCTTGTCTCCCGCCGCGAGGTCATTCGAGGTGTATCTGACTTTTTTTTTCGCAAGGAGCAGGCGTAACACTACGAGTCTGCTCTCGGTTGCACCAAGAACTACTGCTGGGGACGGTGGCGGTTCTTAGCTCCGGTGCGCTATCTACAACGATTGCAGTGCTAATGCAAAGTGCGGTAAGGGCTTCGTCACGAGCCAGTTGTGTGGCTGTGGATGCTAAGTGGCAGATATGATGAACCAAGAACCAATTGGCAACATGAAGTCATTGGGTTCGGAAATTGGTTGACTGGTCGACTTTTCTCAATGGAGCTTACGGTGGAAGGGTTAAGGAGAGGGCGGGGTTTGGGTTTGATAAGTGTGGTTGGACGAAACGATGATCGCTCTGAAGGATCAGTTCAGATACTGCCCTAATGACAGCAATGTCATGTTTTATCAGTAGGAGCGACGTCTTTCGTTCGATGTATTATGTTGGTTCTGTTTCCTGCCTGTTTGAATGTGAAAAACTTTTGTGCAGGTCCTACCAATAATCATGAGTTTCTGTCAACGGGGTGGAAATCATTCCTTTCTTAATCGTTGAGATGTCGCGTTTTTAAACAGATTCGTCCATTCTGAAAACCATGGAATAATTGGAATTTCCAAGAAATAGAATATCTTATCTCCTTTTTGATTCAAAATATCCATTTGTGCTGAGCGGGTGGTGAGAAAAATACATCGTACCAGGGATTTGGACTAAACAAACTCCAGGGACGCGGCATGAGGATCGGAGTAAAAGACTTTGAGGCCTTATGAGGTATTCCTTTCCATTTGAGGAGGGTTTCTAATAAATAATGAGCCAAAAATGGGACCAAGGATCTGAGATTGGAGACGTGTTCGGGTTGTTGAGATAGTTTTTTTTGTTCGCTCGTTTCGCACTGTGATAAGGATACCACGGACTGTGAATTGCAGTACACACAACTAACGAGCTATGTATAAGGGCAGTTCAAGGTATGAACCTGGGTTCAGTCCTATCAAACGTCGGATTGATGTCTCACTGAAGAATTAAACGCTCCGAGGTATCCAGCATTTTACGTTGCAAAGAAATGGCGCTTCAGAAAAACGGTGGGAGTTTGGATTTCGATGACGGAAAATTGTAGTCGCTGTAACACGACATCGGTCCGGGATTTCGAAATATATTGTGAGTGGATCGTCTTTGCACAGTTATTCTCTCGTAACGTGTTTGTTGTCGACACTCGTCTTCACTCATTCCAGTCCTCCAAGGATTTTGTACTGGTTGAATATCTCGAAAACGGATCCGTTCTATAGCTCGACTTCCTGGAAATGTCTCGTTGCATTTTGAATTTTCAAGTCCTTCGTGATTCAGACCGACCCGACTCATCCTCTCTCAATCAAAGTTCGCTCTTCGTATGCTTCCAACTCATCCCAATAGCGCTCGTATAGTCGGGACACCAGCTTCTAAGATCCGGTAAAGCTGCATTCAATTGATGCAGGTGGTGGTTCTGTGATGGTCCCAAAGGGTTTTATGCAAACTTTGGAGAAATGGTTTGGGATGTTCGTTGTTATCAGACGGTGATGACATTGGGGACCCGACGGTGGCCCACCGCGCTAGTGTGGTTCGCGCTTACACCCTGCATAAGAAACTCTCCGCAACCCGAACCTTCTTCCCGGTCGTCAATAAGTAATGCATAATTTTTCCCTTTGTAGAAGCATGATGATGATATCAGTAATATTTCATAGCTTCCGATGACTCAGTTGTTAAGTAATTTAATGCCCAGCGGTACACTCCAAGTGCGAAGACTCATCAGTCGTGCTAGAACAAACTAGGTTCACTTTAACTTTTGGCACTGCGTTCTCTTCCTGCTAGCATTGGAAATACGACGCTTATGCTCAGATCAATTGGGTGCTAGTCAATGTTGTTTCTAGCGTCATTCAAACTCCGAAGGAGGTGAAGAAAATCGATGCTGCTCGATAAGATAGATTCTCAGTGTCTTTGTTCATCATAACCACACACTATATGGAAGATCGCATTTGTATATTCAAAGCTACGGCAATTTATGGATCCTCCCTACTTATCAAATATAAACGAATGTGTAGTCATTCTCGCAACGCTGTACCAATCATATCACTACTGATCGCACTCGTACTGAGTAGCGCAGTCTGTGCATACCCCGTTGTGAATCTCACAACAGATAGAACTACGCATTACACCATTAGCCCTCAATCTCCATGCTTGATTCGTTTTTCTAAAAGAGAGAGAGAGAGAGAGAGGAAGAAAAGTTGATCAGGAAAAGGCCAGGCTCAACATACCAGTTAATCTGACAATTGGCGAGACATCCCTGGCTGCCACAGAAGCCGCAGCCAGAAAGACATGCAGAAACGCAGGTTGCGCGTTTCTCGATGACCATGGAGCCTGCCGTGGCGTCTCTGGTTAGAAGCGATTTCATGCCATTGGGCATGCTGGATATTTCGCGAGGAAGGAGGTCCGGGTTCGCAATGGCATTTGGGGCTGCGGTTGCGAGTGGGGAGAATGTGAGAGCGAGGGTGACGGCGATGGTGGTGAGGAACTGCATTTTGAGAGGTGGTTTGTTGGAAAGCCTTCTTGTTTACTAAGATGAGGTGGATTGAAGTGGATGGTTGAGGTAGAGTTCTGGGTGTTGCACGTCTTTTATGTTCGCATTTGAGCTATTTCTTGGATATATTCGAAGCATTAGGTGGTTGCCTAATAGTTCGCCTGATATTACAAACTTCTTAATGAGGTGCTGATCTACCTTGTGTTGTTGGCTGATTTTGACATCTTGCAATCACAGCTCGATGTCACGCAAGTAGTTTGTTGGAGGTTTCAGTTGATATTAAATATTGCACGCCTGATTTTACAGAGGCCACAAAATCGGGTATACATTGAGATATTTGATGTGACCGAAGCAAGCAAAACTGGTACTATGGAATTATCAGAGCAAAGCTTTTATCGTGGTTGCATATCACCATGAATTTAGCCCAGTCGTTCATGGAACTGAGATGGAAAAAGATGAAGTTGAAATGCAAACTAGTCAGATACATCAGTATGACATGGGCCAACCAAGCGAAACTGTATTACCCGCTCATAGGAGTGTTAGGAAAGAGAAAGTCTTTCGATAATGAACGAACAATCCAATCAACCGGGGTTTGGTGTATAGATCTACATGTAAGGCAAACACAGCCTTTCGACTGTAAACGAACAGTCGAATCAGGCAAGGCTTAGCATCTAGTCTTATATGTAATACCAACATTTGTAGCAGTCATTGATACATTTTGCCTGAATACTCATGTTGCCACCTGCATACCAATCTTGCGGTTCAGCAACAATATACCCCTCTTCCAACCCAGGGTGGAAACAATAAGCACTAGGAAGTTTTGGGCTCTGTCTCTGCCATAGGTAGACTCTCTGAATTTCGTTAATGTGTGCTAAACTCTGGGCTTTGGACTGAGCTTACCTGACGTGTTGCTGGGCCGTAGTTGCTGTCTGGTTCAGACAATTAGGGCGACTATCACAAACCATTGCTTCATTTTCAGAACGAGCCTCATTCATGAAGATCAATTACATATGCTCGAGCCTTTGTTCACAAATAAAATCATTAAAAGATTACGGATATCACTTCGTGCAATGTAAATATGTACTATGAAGCACCAATATAATAATTGTAATCAAAGCTACAGAGCTCTGAGAAGCAACTACTCGCAAATACTAAACTGTATCCCTACAATCACTCCAACAACTAGACTAAAAGACGAGAGGGCTAGCACCCCTTAAACACGAACGTGCTCGACATGAGGAGTCTTCTCGGAACCGAGGTTGTCAAGGTGCTCGCTGTGGACGCCCTTCTCAATGGCGTGCATGTCAACGTGGGGAACAGCATCGTCTCCGTCGAAGATGCGCGAGATTTCCTCAAGAGTGGGTCCCTGGAGTATATAGTTAGCAACGGCTTCATATGGCGAAAGGTGCGTGTACATACCTTGGTTTCTGGGTAGACAAAGTAGACGAAGACGAGCTCGACGAAGATCCACAGAGTGTAGAAAAGCGCCAGATTCCAGTGCTTAGGGAGGTTGTCCCAAGCGACAGGGTTGGTCTGACCACCAACGGCGAGGATAGCCTGGACGGTAATGTTCATGATCATAAGACCCTTGGCACGGAGTGCGTAGGGCAGAATCTCAAGAGCGTAGGCGACAAGCAGACCAGACCAGGCAAAAGCATAGCAGACACCAAAGAGCCATACAAAAGGAATTTGTGCGTATCCGGCACCCTTGTTTGACTCGCCGGAGTTCTCGTAGACGGCGCAGGTAATGGTCCAGCACACGAACGACATCATCATACCAGTGGTTGCGCCCAGGAAGAGGGGACGACGTCCGACCTTGTCAATCAAGGTAGCGGCATATGTTGATACGACGAGAGACAGGATACGTTCACCACCAGTCAGCTATATCGTGGGTTAGTAAAGGCCCTTTTTGGCAAGAATTGAAGTTGTACTTACAGCCATCTTTTGATCCTGGCTAGTGATTCCAGCACCAGTGTAGACCAAGTTGATGTAGTTGGAGAAGAGGGCGTTACCGGAGTACTGGGAAATGATACCAAGGGAGATGAGAATGGCCAACCTCCATCGGTTACCCTTGGTCTTCAAGAAGTCAACGTAGCTGGAGTTGGTTTTGGCATCGGCCTCCATTCGGATGGCTTCCCTCATCTCGGTGTATTCAAAGTTGACGGTTACATTATCACGGTCACCCTCGGCATGGTAGTATGCAAGAGTGTTCAGCGCCTCCTCGTAACGTTCCTTGGAGATCAACCAACGTGGGCCTTGGTCTCATGTTAGTTTGATGTACAAATGGAAATTCGTGTCCATGTTACTTACTTTCAGGGACCCACCAGATGAACATGAGCTGGAGGAACGATGGGAGACCCTGAAGAAGGGTAATTGAGCGCCAGGACCAATGGTTATCGGCTTGGGATGTGCCCCATGCAATCCAGGCAACAAAGAGAGCACCCAAGTTCCAGAGACAGTTGTAGACAGCAGTGAAGATACCACGATGTTGGGGATGGCAAATCTCGGTAAGAAGAATAGGCGAGCACATCTGAGCGAACGAGTTACCGAAACCTAGGATGAAACGACCGACCATGTAGAGTTGCCAGCTGGTGGAGAAAGTTGAGACGAGAGCACCTGCAATCATGATGGAGCAACCGACAGCGATTGGAATTTTACGTCCGGTCCATTGGGTAAGGTAAGGGACGAGGAAGAAACTGACAATGGAACCGATGTTGTACATGTTGTTCATTATACCAAGGCGGTTACCGGAGGGGTTGTCAAAGTATTCGGTCCACTTGTTCATCTGCTGCGAGGAGTTCATCATCATACTAGAATTTGGCGTTAGTTGGAGCACATGTGTTGTCAGGCTTGAATTGTACTCACCCATCGTAACCAGTAGTGGCAGAGGCAATGCAAAGAACCGAGCTGTGCCAGAAGAGCTTGCGCATGTTGGGTTGCTTGTACCAGATGACCTTTTCGAACTGAGGTGCATCCTCGCGGACAGCGCTGTTGCCCTTGGGGGCGCTCATTCCCATGCCGACCATGTTGGGCAAACGACGAGTTGAGACGACGAAGAGTCAAGAAGGCCGAAGGTAACGAAGGAGGGTCGCAGACCGAGCTTGCAGATGGCCGTGAGGAACGGTAGGAATGGTCGTGGGGCGACGAGTATAGTACTTATATCTGATGCGCGAGTACCAGAGGCGATCCCGAGAGTGGGGACGGGACGACTAGGACATGGAGATTATCCCTGCCGGTTGGACGGACATGGATGCCGCAGTGTGCAGGACGGGTGCTTGACAGCAAGTGTGGAGAGCGCCAGTAAGATTGTACCAAGAAAGCTGGATTGAACCAGCCGTGGGCACGAGGGCCGCAGCGCCGTAGCCGAGAAGCTGTGTGTAAGTTGTTGCTGTGGACGCTAGTTGTTGGCTTGGTGCTAGTGTTTGCAACGTCCCCTGGCAGATGGGGTGGCCCCATGGGGTGTCTGGAGGCGTTCGAGAAGGCCACAGCACACACAAGACGGTACCAGGGCGGCTAAGTACATGGCTGCATGGACCATAGAGTAGTATGGAGACACAAGAATTGATGCAAGGAGACCAAGGCGGACTTGGCCCTTGTGAAGTGCTTCGATTCAACGGCCAAAGAAATGACTACGGGTCGAAGGGCGCCATGGAGCATTGTGGGCGTTGGCACGACTTGCTGTGTACTACAGGCCCGAGGCAAAGAGTCCATGGCCGGTAGATGGCTCAGGACCGCAAAAGACGGTGGGCTTGGTCTGCCACAAGCGATGAGGACTTTTCCCCACGGCAAATCACATGCGAAGGCTCTGCGGCAACGGCAAGATGGAAATGGGCGTTTTGCCTCGTTTCGCTGTTCCGCCCGTGCTGGGCTTGGCCAGGCCAGAGGCTTATCATGCCGAGTCTTGGATGGGCAGGGCTCGGTGGTGAAGACAACAGGCGACTCGTCCCGCGGATAATTTTGCTTAGCATCCGCCGCTCACCTCTGCCCTGGCTGCCTCGAGTCGGACGTGAGCCAACCACATTGTCGTCCGGCGACAAGCTCTTCTTGTTGCGGAATGTCACGAGCTGCCAAGGTGGATAAATGGGCCTGCACCCCGAAGGCGGAGTCTGAAGCTGGGAGACCAAGGGCCAGTGGATGCCACGGGCACGAACTGCTGTCTACTTAGCTCCGATTCCATCGACAGCCTCAGACAGGCCCAGGCGGCTATTGTTGGCAATCATGAATCATTTGACAAGACGAGCATCTGGATACGCCGCAATGCTCTTGCGACGGTCGTGTGCATGTGGGTGTGGGTGTGGTGGGTTGAGGCAAAAGCTTGGGTCGCCGTTAGTAATGCTGGCTTGGCCAAGCCCAGCTCGCCCGCCTGCATCCGACAACACCACCAGCAGCTGTCTCCTGCATCGTTCAACGCCGTAGCTCGACTCGGACATTCTGCGAGGCGGGTACTCGTGCATGGCCATGCTGTGTAGATTAGCTCGAGGCTGAACCCAGGCGCCGAGCTGTTGGATTTAAGTTAATTGCTTCCTGGGGAAGCGAGGTATTTTGTGGGGTCGGCCAATCTCCAGCATCGCTAACTGCCGCACACCCCGCGCCCTTTGGTCTGTTAGCCGCATTGTCCTCGACTTCAATCTTGACGTCCGACGAGTCTGCCGTCGATGCAGTTTGCAGATGCACCGGTCGAGGTCAGCACAGCCAAAGCTAACGCGCGACCAAGAAAGCCCGTATGCTTGACCGGCTGTACGCTGTCTGCCAATACACGCCAACTCTTGGACGGCCTTGGCCCAATCAACCTATGGACCAGCGGGGCCGTAGCCTGAGGACGCTCTGATTTATCCGAGCAACATTCTCGTGGCTTGCTCCCGCCGTTAGATGCCAAGTAGGTAAGCCTCCCAAATCTGCAGCGGAGGCTGACCCGCAGAGACGGATCGTCCTTGTTGAGCATGTACTCGTTATCATCTGACAGCGAGGCATACTTGACAGGTGAGCAGCTTTGCCCCAACCAGTACGCTCTACCGTGCCACTTTTCCACTGCATATTCCAGGCGCCATGCACCAGGCTTGCCGCCCGCTTTTCTGGTGCCATGCAGACAACAAGGCCCAATCAGACCATCATTCGCCATGTTCCTATGAGAAGCACAAGCTCATTGCACAAGTGTTGGCATCATGTAAGTATAGTATCGAGCAATGGCAAAAAACAAAACAAAATTCGACCACTCGACTACGACCATTATTGCAAGCCGTTACCACTTTATCCACGACAACGCAATGGTGACGGGCTCTATTGTTTGCCACCATTCCTTGGTGCCAGTCATACTGGGTCATCTCTCTTGGACTTTAAATCTGCAGACGGAAGCCGGCAGCTTTGCTCAGCATGATTCATGACAGGTATCCAAGTATAGACACGCTGCTTACAGGAAATCACATAAAGATAAAAACAACATCACAGTGTACTCACATACATCGTGCTCACCAGGACCCAACCAGGACCCACACGAGAGCGTGGAACGACGGCAATCTGGCATCATGATCAGCTCATGGCCTCATCCTTGCAGTGGGGCTCTTTAAGCTTCCTGACTTCTTGGTATTGAAATACTGACTTATTTATGCATCCGAGCCTTGCTTTTCCATTACAACACGGGTCTAGTGTCAGCCCAGTGTTCGCAAGCGGCTGACCTTCGTGTTTCTGACGGAAAGACTATCCGCCGGATAACAATCCGTCAATCAACGCCACCAGGCTATGTTTGTGGCGTAGGACTATTGTCAAACAACATCTAGCACGGAACGTGTGACTGACTGCCATGTGTGCAATGCTGGCGACTAGCTCGTAGTGGCTTTGTGGAGAAGCTAGGCTACATCCGTGGGCTTGAAATTTGCAGAGGGTGGCTCTGCTCTATTGGAAAACGACCAACAGATCAGCTGTGACGCCTAATTACATGCATTGGTGGCAAGCAGAAGTTTGCAATCAAGCAAAGCTATTACGGGGGCCAAAACAGTAGCCCAATATTGAGGCATGTGCACAACTCTACACTACTGAGTGAAACTTGAAGGATTAGGTTGCCACACAGCAATAATCTAACCACCATACACAGGACTACATTTTCTAATTGCAGGCCTCATAGCGATGCCATGCATCTTCAATAGTTGTTACCAGAAAACGTGGTGATTGTCGATGGCCAAGAAAGCGACGCCTTTGGACTCTTCTCCGTCACCAATAGTCAGAATTGTACTCCGCCATGATCCTGGTCTCTTATTGTCCATCATTATAATTCCTTCGTAGCAAGTAAACAGCATGGCGGAATCCCAGGTATCCCTGCTGCACCGGTACGCAGGCCCGTAATTATTCTGGACTAACTGACATTCTGGAAGCTCTCAATCGTTCTCTAGGACGATCTACGTATCCCTCCTGGGTGCCAACTAAGACGCCCCCAACCGGCTTCCTGAAACTTGGTCGTAATCACATGAGTTGTCTTCAAACTCTCGTTACATGACCCAACCCAGTCATCTCTCTGTTCGCCCAACGAGCCGAGGATAGCGCCGGGTGCTGGGAACCGCCAACTGACACCAAACTGCAACGAGATACAAGCCTAAACCAGAAAGCACCACGTCAATCGCCGTTCTGGGTGGTATGCACAACAGCATGCTTGCAGCTATCCACTGATCGGTTGCCATAGTCAAGCCGAGCTGAGTTCCCCAAATATTCGGTATACAAGAACCGGGGATGCCTCGTATATTCCCTGTCAACATGGGCGTGCTCGGTATTACTCTCACCTCCACCAATTTGCAGTAATTATCCTGATTAGGGGCCACCAAAACAGTCGCATATGGATCGCATCACACATACACACATACACACACACACACACATTCTCACAGCCATCGCCTTCTTGCTTACTTTCGAGAGTGTAGTGTATTCTTGCATAATACCTGGGGCAGACCCACCGCAAACCAGCACGCAAGCTGTAGTGTCGGTTGCTTAGTCCATGAACCCCAATCGCGAATTTTTCTTTCACATACGACCATCGGCGAAATCTAGCACTGGATCCCGTTCGTTCTCCGCACGTTAAGTCTTCGACCGGCGGACTAGTAGTCAGGTGGGAGACCACTGGCGAATCCCGGCTGTTGTATGTTTTTTTTTCTTTGATTGTTCTGCCTTGATGCTCTTTTTTTAAAGAAATTCTGAGCATTCAGCATGAAGATCAATCATACAAGGAAGAGAGACCACGCTGGTTGTAGTACTTAGTGGGGTCCGCTCGGAGACAGTAGTACGAGCACAAAGGAACGGCTAACACCCCGCATTCCCCGCCATGCATCGCGGAACGAAAGAAGCGAGCATATACAACTGCCGAGTATGACAGTGGGTATTTCAGTACTCCTTGGCTTCGACAGTGTAAGTGCATCTCAAGCTCACAAATATTCTGCAGCAGCATAGTCGTGCTATTTGGACAGCTGGATTAACATGTCACTAGACGCCCTCGCTCACATGCCGCCTTATCTATGGCTTTCTCTCATAGTCGCGGTACCTCTTGTAGCGCTCCTCCATGACGTATGGATTTGGCTGCGGATGCCTCCAGGCCCAACACCTCTTCCCTTGTTAGGCAACAAGCTACAACTTCCCAAATCGAAGCCATGGATCCAGTTCCAGGACTGGTCGAAAATTTATGGCCCGATATTTACCATATGGATCGGTCGTAAACCCACGATTGTCATATCGGACCCAGACATTGCCGTGGAGCTGATGGAGAAACGAAGCGCGAAATACTCGTCTCGTCCTCGCATGGTGGCTATGGGCGAGATACTGTGGGACAATGCAAGCATACTAGTGCAGCCTTACGGCAAGGAATGGAGTGTGCGGAGAAAACTGCTTCACCAGGCCTTGACACCCAAGGCCTTGAGGCTGTACAAGCCTGTGCAAACAGCAGAGGCAGCACGGCTGTGCTCTCATTTATTAGAAAGCCCTGCGAGTTGGGAGAAGTTGCTTGAGCGTTTTACTTCCAGCATCGTCTTCTGTGTTGCATATGGGCACCGCATTGATTCGCTCAACGCCCGCGTCATCCACCAGCGCTTTCAATTCATGCACGTCGCTGCGTCGCTCAATGTGCCTGGGAAATACCTCGTCGAGTCGTTCCCCATTTTGAAACACATTCCTGATGTGCTGGCGCCGTGGAAAGCAGACATTAAGAGCCGGGGGCGAGAGGAAGCAGCCGCAAACATGGCATTAGTCGAAACAGTGCGCTCCGATCTTGCCGAAGCAAAGAGCAAAGGCAAAGATATCCCAGACTCGCTGTGCAAGCTACTTTTGGAGCTTCGCAAGCAAGAGGATATACCACTTTCAGACCGCGACTTTTCCTACATCCCTGCGTCCCTGTTCGGTGCTGGATCCGACACCACAGCTTCGACCCTCTGCACCGCGTTCCTTGCTCTCATCACACACCCAGAAGCCATGCGTGCAGCTCATAAAGAGTTGGATGAGGTCATCGGCCCTAATCGCACCCCAATATTCGAAGACGAAGCACATGTCCCCTACATCCGCGCTCTAGTAAAAGAAGTCTTACGCTGGCGTCCCGTCGCAGTCCTTGGCGGCACACCGCACGCCTCCACAGAAGACGATTACTTCAACGGGCACTACATCCCATCAGGCACCACCATCATCGGCAACTCATGGGCCATTAATTTGAATGACAAATACTATCCAAGCCCACACCACTTTGACCCCACCCGTTTCCTCGACGAGGCACTTGCCCAGCGCGCAAAAGACCCCACACATGTTTCTGGGAAGCCGCACCCTGCAAAGGCAGGTCACTCGTCGTTTGGCTGGGGCCGGAGAATCTGTCCTGGGGCCCAATTGGCGGAAAACACTCTCTTCATTGCTTTGGCCAAGATACTGTGGGCGTTTGACATCTTGCCCAAGCCTGGTGTGCAGTACGATATTTTTAATTACACAGAGGGCTTCAATATTCGGCCTCGCGAGTTTGAATGTGAAATCAGGGTTAGGAGTGAGGGTCATCGGGAGGTGCTAGTGAGGGAGTTGAAGGATGCGCAAGGTGTGCTCGAGAGGTTTACGCCATTTGATGAGTGAAGAAAGAAAGTTGGATAATAGTAGTCACTAGTTTACGGTATAGGAAGTAAAGATTTGGTTACAAGTATTGAAACAATCGTAGCATCTTGATTCGTCACCCATAGTATCTCCAAACCAGAGAGCTATATGCTACATATCCGCAAGACCTGAATCTCACGCGCCTTAAAGAGAAGAGAGAGAAAAAAAGCAAATAACGCCCCCCCCCCCAAACTCAATGTCGCCTTGGACAGAGATCAAACCCATTGTATGTAAAACGCCATCGCCATGCAGTTAAGAACAATCTCATAAAAGAAAAAAAAGAAAGAAAAGAAAAATCATTAGGCCCCAAAGGCAACAGCAACAGCAACCGCCAGCACAACGGCCAACAGATTCCCCCTCTCCACAACCCCGGATCCCGTGCTCTGCACCAAGGCCTCATCGCTCACGCTCTTCCTGCCGACAATGGAGCCCACGACGCCATTCGCACGATCGACATTGTCAATCGCAGGGCCCATGTTGAAAAAGTCGACGAGGACGAAATTCGCAGGCTTCCCGTACACGGCCGTGCAGTTGTTCAGCGCAACGCCCATGGATCCGAAGCCCGTCGCCCCGTTGGTGATATTGGCGTACGTCTCATTGGGGGACTGGATGCCGAAGATCTGGTTCTGGTACAGGAAGTGGTTTTGGAGGAACATGCGGCCGGACTGGGCTGCTGCGGCGGGGGATGCGAGGCCCGTGGGGCGGTTGGGGTTGCACGAGTAGTTGGAAGGGTTGACGTTATTATAGTCGTTTTCGAAGATGAAGGTGAATTCGTCCATGAGGTAGGGGTATTGGGTTGAGGCGCCTTCGGAGAGCGAGGCGACAAAGGTCATGAGGCGTGTGTTGTTGCCGATGAGGGCGTCGAGCGTGGGCCAGGTTTGGGGGAGGACCGAGGCTGAGGGCGGCGTGTAGGCGAGCTTGTCGATGCCTGAGGAACTGAAGATTGTACCCAGGTCCGAGGTGGAGGCGCCGTCAGAGTTAACGAGGAGGACGGTTACGACGTCGTTTGGGTTGGCGTCCATCCAGGTTTTGATCTCGCCAAGCCAGTCTTCGAGAGTGCCAGCGTCGAGCAGGTTGCAGCTGCTGTGGCAGAGATGCCATTGTGCCAAGCCAGTGTCGTTGGACTTGTGGAGTTGAGCGGTGAGTAACCGTACACCCGCGTCAAGCTGAACAGTGGTATTGTAGTATTGGTTTCCCGATGTGGAAAAGGATGTCTCTTCGTTTCGGAGAAAAGGTGAGTCGTGTGCGCCGAGGAAGGTGATGTTGTTATATGGCCGACTGCATAGGTCGGGCGAGTTGTTGCAGGCGTTTTGGGCAGAGGCTGATGTGTAGAGCATGGACAGCATGGCTGAAGCCTGCAGTAATATGCTTCTTGAAAACATGATGATTGTTGTGTGCAAGTGTATTCCAAATCTTAGGTAGAGCCCAGCTCAGATAACTGAAGGTCGTTGTATTGTTCGTTGTCAACCGGAAGTTCGTAAGTCGTAGATTCCCGAACCAAATAAACAGTCTATCCGTTGCCCGTGCAAAAGTCTTGTGTGTAGATGTCGTTGAAAGAAGAAAGTTAAAAAAAGGCGTTAATGGATTATATGTCAAAAGAAGCTGGGGCAACGTTGACTACTACAGCGTTACGTAGCTCGTCTCAGCCCAGCCACCCAAGGCTGCATGCAATAATTATGGAAACAGCTGCGCACTCGGGTACGAGGAGAAAAAAGAGTGGCGCCGTTGGAGCCTCCACTAATCGTCGAGGAACGCATGCATTAGTGGAGCCTCACTAGGCTTTGACAAGACGTTTGGTCTCTCCGAGTTGCCTGCACAGCCTACAAAGGCCGCGAGTGCGAAGCGGTTTCATGCGTCGTCAGCGCCGGGCCATTCGAAAGGGCGCCGACGCTCAAACGCCACCGAAACGAACGCTGCTGCATACTGACCGGTGACAGATATTTTGGCATGTTCCCATATGCAGCTTTCTCAACCTGGAAAGCGGAATGTTGCCGTTCAGTGTGGAGAGACAGAAAAAAAAGGCTGAAATATCCAAGAGCGTTACGTGGCGCAAGGCTGGTAGTGATGTTAAATGACAATGAAGGATAGTGGCAGCCACCTATTGTTGGAGTGGCGCGCGCTACAGTGCCGAGTGCCGTGACTCGTGCATTCGGCAACCTTGTCTCCCGGCACCGTCGATCTTCCGCCCTGTCACCCTGTCCCCGTTGCTGTGATGGACACTGATACTTGGGGTTCCGCATCATAACTTTAATTCAAGGTGGTAGATCTGCCGACGACAGCAGCGAAGCTTATATCATGGCATCGCGCCAGGCCATGTCAACTGTTCGTCGTCTAGACTGACCTCTGAGCCTCCGCCACGCACGAGTAGGCTGAAAAAAAAACAATCGTTGTCCTACCAACCCCCTAGCAACAGACGGTCAATATTGTTCGGCCTCCATCTCCACAATATTCTCCAGTTTCCACGCGTCCCTATCCTCCACAGTCCAATCACCCGCTGCCCCAAGACGACTTCACACCGTCACCGCAAGCACCACCTCCAGCCATTCGTATTGTCCCGCACTCGCCATGGTGACCCTCCGCGCGCCGTCTTCGCTCCCCGCGACCGAATCCTCCGCTTCAATCTCACCGCCCCAGTTGTCGTGGCTGTCAGGCTCGTGGAATGTGACGCACTCCACACTACCCATGTGGAAGAAAAACCGCAACGTTCGCATCACATACACGCCTATTGCATCCAGCACACCACCGCAGATTGATGATGTCGTCACGTACCAGGGTCTGAATTCGGATGCGCTCAAGACAGTGCATGGTATCGATAAGCCCTTTGATGTGCCCAACGCTGCACCGCCAGCTGGTGCAGAGGGCGGAGCAGGCGACGTCGCTAGTCTGGGGTACAACTGGCGTGGCAAGGGGTGGCTGGTAATTGCGACAAGCAAATGGGAGATACTCGGCTATGGCGACGAACAAGGCACCGGCAACAGCTGGGTCGTCACCTACTTTGCCAAGACGTTGTTTACGCCTGCAGGTATAGACGTTTACTCACGCAAGGCCAGCCTGACGCCCCAAGCAATCGACGATATCAAGGCTGCGCTTGCTGCGCTTGGGGGCGATGTTGCCAAACTGGCAGGACAAATGTTCCAGGTCAGAATGGATCAAGACGCGAGTGGCTAAGCCCACTGTAAAGGGGAGCTGAGATACATACGTTCAAGCATGGAGCTAGATACCCAGGCATAGAGCCTCTACCCGAAACTTTACTAATGTAATCCATCCATCTACATCAAACCACCTCAGAAAAACCCTGCACAAAGACTTGAAATTCATGCTAAAACACATTGGATCATGACAGTCCTTCTGCTGCGGCTTTGGAAAGATTCCCGACCCCCAATTGCCTCATCACAACTGCCCTCTCCCTTAGTCAAGCAGGTCCATGCAGGGTCTTTGACTGGTACTCTGTGCTGCATAATCGCCTCTCGGCTGACCCTGGCTTGGTTGCATCTGCGGCTCGGCATCAAGGTCAATAAGCAAGTCGGTGTCTGTCTCAACACTTTCCGCCTTGACTGGTGAAGTTGAGATGAGTCGGTTGCCAACAGACGGCCGCATACACTTTGGAGTAGATGCGTGAATACGCTCAAGGTACTCAGCCTCTTCTTGCCTCACCTTCGCCCGGACTCTCATGTCATCCTCTTCAACACCGCCGCCGTGTGCGTAAGCATCCCATTGCTCCGTGGTGCCTTGTAGCATCTGCGGCATTCCCGAACCAGAGGTAGAGGAAGCCATTCTGTGATTAGAATTTCTAGGAACATCAAGTCTGGTTTCGAGGCTCAATTTCTGCATATTGGAGCGCGGTCCGCTAATGGAAGCAGCTCCTCTCGGTCCCGCGTTCAAGACAGGCTTGATACCATCGCTTCGGCGTTCGCACATGTGGCACCTGCATGGATCGCAACACTCGGCTGTAGAACGTCAGTAAAGGTGTCTTACGTACGCTCGGAAAAGTTTTAAACATACAAACGCAGGGATGACCACATCTCTCTACACGCCTAGCACACTTTTGTGTACAATTGATCCTATCGTGCTCGAAGCTGGCAGAGGTTAGTTTGGATACATGAGACATGGCAGAAAGAACACCTACGGGTGGCATGTGTACGGACAACGGTGTCCACAAGGCAATACCCCGTCGCATTTGATGTCGCAACCGCCCTTGATGAGATCAAAGTCATCAGGATCTTCACACCACACCTTGTGCCCGTGGTTGGTGCATACAAGGGGAAGATAATACCCCACTCGTCGTTCCTGGCCAGCCTTGACCTTTGGCTTCTTGTTCTTGAACATGATTTCGACCACGCTGCCCCATATACTGCTTTGACTAGCCAGAAGCTCGGCGTTCCCGAAGATGTAAAATCCACGTTTTGCTCGAGACAATGCCACACATGCACGATTCTCGGAGCTGAGAAAGCCGATGGAATTCTTCTCGTTGGAGCGAACCAAGGAGAGTAGTACAATATCATTCTCCTCGCCTTGGTAGCTGTCGACAGTGACAACTTGGATGCCTCGGTAAACTCCCAAGTTTGGGTGTGCTCTTATAAGTTTTGTTATTTGCCTTCTTTGGCCGTTGTAGAACGTCAGGATTGTGGTCTTGGTAGCATCAACACCATTGAGAACCAAGTAGTCGAGAAACCGAACCACCATGTCCGCTTCCCGTGCATTGAATGAAGACATGTGGATATCACGGCCCTCGGGCCATTCGTGACAGAAGAAAAAACTGTTGTTTCCGCCCATTCCTTCAACTGGTGGACGATGGCCAGCGTTTTCCACGTTTGGGTGGTCTTTTAGTTTGTCTTCGTAGATTGGACATAAAAGACGTCGTATTTCTGGTATCATACGACGCTGGCGCATCAACGTGTCGAACGCAACATTGTTTCGAACCAGGCGCTCGAAAAGCGACAGGTTTAGGAAGTATGGGCCGTCTTCAAAGGCATGTACCTGAGTGTGAGGACGCAGCTGCTGGTGATCGCCGACCAAGATTAGGTGCTCGAGGCTAGGGAAGCAGGCTGCAGTCACAGGCGCTTCGAGAGTCTCGGCTGCCTCTTCCACGATACACAAGCGCGGACGAAGGCTGGATAGAAGAGCCCGGTACTTTGCGAGACCTGTAGTTGTGCATCCAATAATACGTGCACCACGAAGAATGCGTGCGTTCTCTTCGAACACTCCAATCTTGCGTTGTACAACACTGTCATGGTAGGTCTTTGCAATCTTGCGAATTTCCGTCGCAATAATTTGCTTCACTTCCCGCTTGAAAAAGTTATAGATCGCACCTCGATCAGCCATACGGATCTTGTAAAGATCATCCGTCTTGCGTAAGATGCACCGAATGTCAGCATTACTCAAAGAGGCACCAGTGCCCTTGAAGTTATCGCTGATTTCAATGACAGGTCCACGAAGAGCTTCAATATCGTCATCATCCTGAGCCACCGCTTCTGCCTCAAGTTCCTGCAATTGCTCGACTTCGAAATCCTCTTCTTCATAGTCCCAGTAAAGATCCTCCGGGAGAATAGGTCTATCGCATGGCGCAAGACATTGGCCAAGCCATTGTTCCATTAGAATCCCTGGATGTTTGGATGATGAGATGCCTATGGCGTCTTGAGTGTCCATTTCCAGCGATTCTGCCTGCTTCTGGGTAATCAGCTCAAACTTCAAGAGCAAATTGTGATCAAGCGGTCCTTTGTTGGCTTCAATAGGAGCGAGCAATTTCTGGCATTCGGTTGCCAAGCTTCCGATCTTGCCATTCGCTTTCTTCTTGATACCGCTAACAGTCCCTTTTTGCTGTGGTGTCCTCAATTTGACTTCGAACAGTGTCTGCTTCTTTACAGCATTGTCTTTGCTCCTTCCTCCTAGCCGTATGTAATTCGGTTCAAATATGGATGTGTGTCGTAATAGTTGGTCGAGAGCGTGATTCGTCTGTGCAGTCACAATTATAGGTGCGTCTTCCTTGCGCAGATTATCGCGAGCGATTTGTAGAGCGACAACCGACACAAAAGTCTTTCCCGTGCCAGGCGGGCCTTGTACGATAGCTAACTCGCTTGTGAGCATACGCTTCAGTGCTCTGCTCTGCGATTCGTCAAGCGAATGCGAAGACGCTACGGGCCAGTCCTCAAGCACATTGACATTTTCGTAGTCTTCAGCATCTTCCATGCTGACAAGACTACTAAGGTTTGTGTATGGGTTGTGCTGGACGTAAGCCGGAGGGTCTACCTCCTTCTGAACGTCTACAAGGTATTTTGATAACATGAATGGTTCCCTCATCAGTTGCTGCAAAGCTAACAACGTATGCCTATTTGCCTCAAAGAAGCTGGCTCTAGATTCTACCATGATCCATTTGCGCATGGGATCAATTTCTTGATCTTCAGGTCGAGCAAAGAACAAGTCAATCGTGGGCGGGTTTTGTTCCAATGCGCTGATGGGACGCGCTGCGACAATGGCAAGAACACACCGTGTCTTGAAGGCATCATCTGTGGGAGACAATGCGACAAGTGATCCAGTGATGAGCCGCTTCGATTGTCCCCATCTGTAATATGTCAGCTGTGAACACACTCTGGTCGTTCCGCAACTTACCTGACATGCTTCTTGGCTCGTCCGAGCGAGAAAGCAACTCTTGTCGCCAGTCCTCTGGGAGAGAATACAAGCGACTTGATGTAGACAGAGTCATAGATGCCGATGCTTTGATTCTGATACTCTGCTTCGTCTTTGAAAGGCTCGGCACGGACCTCATCAATAGCCTCCCGCAGAGGACGAATAGTGTCTTCGCGCAGGAGCTCATACAAGGTTCTCAAGTAGTCTTCTTTGTCATCATATGCACCCTCTAACTTGTGTGGGCGAACGTGGCCGTCTAGTTCAATGAGTGATTCGCTGTTGGTGAAGCGGGACGTGTCACGTAGGACTTCTGAAGTGTTTGGAATCTCAGGTTGCTGAAGCCATGCTCCACCGTCAGCTGGCCTCTTAGCGCGCTCAAAATACTCGTAGATCTCGTTGTTGTTATGGGCTGTGCCAGATGTGGGAATGTTCTCGTCGAACAGAGAGCTCTCTGGGAGGGAATGAGAGTCCATCTCCGCTTCTACCGTATGATCAGCACGGGTTCTCCAAATTGTAGGACGCTGAAATTCGAGGCGGCTCTTGTGTTAGAAGCAGCGAGAATACAACAATTGGCGTGCGTTTTTGTGGTTTGTTTGAAAGAGAACGAACTCACCACTCCCTGCTATTTCGCCTAGGCTCGCATAGACATTGCTAGAATTTATGTTGGGACCTCTGTGAGAAGCTGTGCTGCGGCTTCCCGAGTGTCTGACATGGTTTGATCTTTTCCCAGAGCGGCGTACCATGTTTGTCTAGCAACTGTCTGGCTGTATTGACAAGCCAAGGACTGTGTTGAACAAGTCGGCAATACACGGCAGTGGAAGCTGTTTGGAGTTGATGATGCTCACTATCGCTGGCTTCGGAGTACAAGACACAGCTGTGGAGTGTTGTTTGCCATGGTCTTGTCTGCAGACTAGGAAGGCGCAGCGTCGTCGCAGCAAACAGAATACGTCACGTGATGCGCAAGACCGGTGAGACATGCGAGTGCTACAGCTGTACGAAGCATGAGGCGGCTGATTTTGTGCAAACTTTGTGATACAAACATGACGAAGTAGAAATATGTCGCAGAGTCAGACTTCAAAATCAGTGTCATAAAGAAAATGGGTGAAGGTAGGTGAGTTCACAAGCGGTGGGAGTGGGCAAACAAAACGGAATTTAGTGTACTTTGATGACTACTAGAAAGCTCTGCTACCGAAACCAGTTGCTCATCTCTTGCTTGAACAGTCTCTTACTTCAACACACTGGGGACTGTGGAAAAGAAATGGCGGGAGCATAGATGGCTTAACGTTCAGGCTCTCAGATCCCGAAGGACCATCCTTGGACGATGGATATTGCTCTAGAAGGCAAACAGGCACAGACATCCGGCTGGCTACGGAATTGACCAAAGGATGCAAGCTGTGCATGTCAAGCATATTAACAGATATTTTGGTATGGCCATCCAATCTCAGTTGTGTGTAGTAGAGTATTGCAGGCAACGAGACATGGATTGCAGTACTGCGTGCAAAAGATGCCTGGCGTCAGCGACAATGGGGTGTGGGTCTGGATGTATGGCATGAGTGGGCTGATGTGTGTTTGGCTGATTTGATTAGCAAACCACTAGCTAGCAGGCGGCAGTCGTGCGAACACCTGGATTGCATCTTTGGCGCAACACCGTATGGGGATGGTCGCTTGTCGCTAGACGCATTTCTGGCTGCGGGAAGCGAAGCGGGTCGTGGTCTAGAAACTTCCTGCTCGTGCCATTCAAACGCTGGATGCCATGACCGACACGTGCAGCAATAGAAGCTATGCAGTATGTTTGTATGTACAGTGTACTAGATCTGGCTTTTCTGGTAGACAGGATAACAAGCAAGTATCTTGTTGGAAACCAGCCTGGACGGCGCAACAGCAGTCCGAGGGGAATTCGTGTCCGCATAACGTCATCCCGCATACGATGCCGGACAGGACAGGGGCCAGGGCAAAGCCAAGTGCACATGTCAGCATGGTAAGTAGTTGGGTCGGGGCAATATCAGCGAGGGATTAATACCATGCATATGGCTTGGTGTAGAATGCGTACGTCTACAGTAGAATGGTAGAGAAGGTCCTTGCAGCTGGGCCCTTGACGTCGAGACCAGGAAATGCTCGACGCGGGACATGCGGGTCGACGCGGAGATGCCGTCGCAGGCTCGCTGTTGGGCATGAAGATCTCGCCGGGCGGAGGATTCAGCGAGGGCAGAGAGGGTCGAGGCGTGCGCCTGGGGGGCGTGTCGATCGGGCCGCTTCAAGTTGGGCCTGGGTTTGGAGGGCGGTGGTGTTCCTGGGGCCGTCGTTCGACATCAGGTAGCGACTGGGGGCAGCGGCTCCAGGTGCCTGACATGTGTGCGGACGTGTGGGCCATGGCTGGGTCGGTGTAGTGCGAAGGCGCGGTACCGAGTCCAAGTAGTGGCAGCCTTGTGTCTGCATCTTGTGCTTGTGCTGGCTGGGCTGAGTGTGACTGACGACACCTGACAGGCCCCGTCTCAGATCAGAGGGCACGGCGTGGGCGTGGGCTCAGCAAAATCTCTGCTGCTCACCCTCACCCTCACCCTCACGCCCGCCGGCGAGGCCCTTCCAGCCGGCAGAGCACATGGCGGGCGGGCTGCTGCGAGCTGGACCAAAAGCGCAGCGTCGGCCGCCGCGATTGGGCACAAAGGGCAGGATGCATCCTGGTGATCAGGGAGGGTGGTTTGGCATAGCGTGGACGTTACGTCATGGCCATCTCGAGCGCGCGCCCGACCTTGGTCTTGTTACCCACCCCACTACATGCATGCCCACCACGCACTCCAACTGGGCCCGTCTTCTCGATAACGTCAGGCCACGGCACAGCCTATTCTTCATTACCTTGCCCGCCCTCTTCTTTTCTTCCCACCCGCCCCAGTCTCCTTTTCCCAGCTCATCCGCACTCAGTCGCGCGTGTGAGAGAGAAAGAGAGAGAGTGGCTCACCACCCCCCGCCATAGCCACACTCAGCACTCAGCACTCACCACCACCACGACTGCTATTACTTTGACTACTTACCGCCCCCCCCCCTCTACATTCCTCCCCTGAAGTCGCTTGCCTGCTGCTCACCGGCGCAATGTCGCGACGCTACCCCACCGCAGAGCTCTATGAAGAGCGAGAGCGCGACTTCTACCGCAACGGCAACCGCAGTGACCGCAACTATGAGGAGCTCGACTTCGAGTTGCGCCGCAGTGGTGTGGGCGGCGATCCCCGCCGCAGCATGCCTGATTTCCTGCGCGAAGACTACAATCGGCCAACCGCTGGGCCGCTGGTAATGCGAGGCCGTGACGACGACAGCTTCTCCAGGTCTGGACCCCGCAGTGCTCGTGGTTTTGACGATGACGTACGCTCGACCCGGAGCCGTCCCCCACCTCCAGCCTCGTCAGTGCGCGAGGTTGAGCGCGACGACATCACAATCCGACGCCGCGAGCAGTCGCGCGGTCCCCCCGAGCGTGATGACATCGTCTTCCGCCGTGGTGATGGGCCCCCGGTCCGATCCGTCAGCCGACCTGCCCCTCGTCAGGTGGATGATGACGAAGTGCGCTTCCGAGGCCGCACTAGCGACGACATCGACATCCGCGCTTCTCGCAGCGAGGTCAGTCGCCATGGCCGCGACGTGTCTGCTGAGCGAGGCTCTATCCGCTTCCAGGAAAAAGATGGCAACTTTGAGATTCGTGCAAACCGCCGAGAATTCAGCCGTGATGGTAGGGACACCAGCAGAGAACGGAGTTCCTTGACCATTCGAGGCCGCGAAAGGAGTCTTCCACCTCCAGCACGCAACCGCGGCGAGTTGGTTGCTCGCGAGCGCGAGGAGTTTGTCATCCGTCGCCCCCGCGCAGAATCCCCGCCCCAGAACAACCGCGAAGTCGTAAGAGACGAGATCATCATCAGACGCAAAGAAGAGCGCGCTCCTACCCCCTCGCCTTCTCCATCTCCTCCTCCCCCACCTCCGCCGCCAGCTCCAGAACCAGAAATCCGCCCTCCCATCATTCAGGAGATCATCACCCACCACAGGCACATTGACCACGGTAAGTTGTGTGCACCTGCAAGATACAGGTTTGGTGCTAACTGCTTTGCAGGTGTCGTCAGAGCACGCTCCCCAACACCCCCTCCACCACCGGCGCCTCCGTCTCCTCCCCCACCACTAAACGAGACGCTCGAGATCGAGATCAACCGCAGAGAGTATGTATGCCATCTGAATACCCCACACACGTCTGCTAACACACGTCTAGAAGCCACAGCCGTGGACGCGGAAGGAGCGCCTTCGACGAGCTTGACATTGATATCAACCTCAACCATCAGCATGTATGTTACGCAGGTCCTTGCATCGGCTAAGAGCATACCACTGACTGTGACAACCAGGGCGCCGTCAAGCAACGCAAGAAGGACATGTGGACCGAAATCACCAAGGATTTGGTCATCAGGGAGGCCATCGACTCAATGGGCTACGCATGCGAGGAAACAGATGACTTCTTCTATGTGATGGAGTATCTCAGATACGTAAGTCATGGAACATGGGGTAGAGATGGCAGGCAGCTAACGCTACACAGGAGGATGTGCTGCACCTCGTGGAGCTCTCGGATGAAATCCGCCGCAAGCGCAAGAGCCGCATCCGGGAGATTGAAATTGAGCGCAAATCCATCCACAGCTCTAGGCCAACATCGGGCTACGACGAGCGGTACTACGAAACTGATCTACACTTTGACAGCCGCCGCAGCCGATATCACTAGAGGGTGGGTGGGAGAGGGATTATTTGCACGATTTTCTTTGCTTGCCGGATCTGCGGGTTGAAGACTACTTGTCTTAAGCCAGTATTTGGGCCCACGACAATGCAGTCCGCTTGTCTCGGCGGGTGGACTGCTCACCCGATCAAGGCGTTGTTGCAGTGTCTCTGGGTTGCCGACACATGGCCTGGATGCTCCAAGACGCTTTGGTGGGAAAAGTCTCACTGTGACGCGGAACGACTTACAAGATTTCTACAGTCTGCAACGAGGATATAGCCTGTATGGACTAATGACTTGATGATTATGACGAGCATACCCGGGGTGGAGAAGGAAGAGAGGTTTCGTGTTTTCTTTGGGACGATGATGACGACAACGATGGGGTTTCAATTCTGGCGCAGGGCACTAGGGTTTATGAGCATGGATGATGAATGAATCGGGTACGGAGGTACATAATTCTATTTCTGCTTTGGACGAACTCACGACTTGTTGGCGTTAGCACGTATGTAAAGTTATGTGCAGTGCTGTGTGAAGTGTGCTATGAATAGAAGTCGATGATTGCCAACACGGTGCGATGTGGCTATTTTGCGGCCAGCTTGCTTTTTTTTGGTGGAGGGGCAGTGGCAGTGCTGGATGCAGCGAGCGGCAAGGGGCTGGCGCACACAATCAGACCACAAGTTCATTGAACCAAAAGGCCGTGGCTTGTCGGTCGCAAAGCCATCAGCACGAGTGGCTAGTGTTTCCCTCTCGACCACTGCACCTCTGCCTCTATTCGTCGTCGCAGTCCATGCATCATCCTGCCGCCCTCGCCCAATGGCCGTCGGTGTTACTAAAAATATACGCTCGTACCCGTTGTCTTGTCCTGTCTTGTCCTGTCTCCTTCCTGTACTATCTTTCCCAACACCCACGCTCAAAGGCAACCAACCAGCCAGTCGCATGAAGCCGCCCCCGCCCCTTTGCTTCATCCCATCCCACGGGCGCTTCGCACCACAGCAGCAGCAACATGGTACTGCATGCCCACTTTTTTGGTGATGGAAAAAAAACCCCCCGAGGCACACTCACACTCATACAACCAATACCCAGCGTAATCTGCCTACTTACCCGTTCCCCACTGTCCGTTAAGCGCCCGCGCCACAACCCCGACTTATCCGCCCGCCCACCCAATACAAGGCTGTAAACGCCCCTCCGCTCCTCGTTTGACACCGTGCAGGCATCCTGACTAGACTGGGGGGGGGTTTCTTGTTCAACTCTACCATTGCTAACCCCGTGCATTCGTTGGCTATGCGTGCATTGCGACTGGCTCTGGACCCGCGTTTCAGGGTGCGAGAAGGTGCGTGTGCTGGATGTTGTTGTTGGCCCCCCCCCTTCTCCCCGGGAATTGAGCCATGTGGGCTCGGAAGATGGATTTGTCCTGTTTGGTTCCGCGTCATGCATGCATGCGTGTGTGCATGTGTGTCTAAGTAACTATGTGGTGGTACCTTACGTACATAGTATCTCTCCCCCCCCCCGTTGTATGCCCTTTGTATAAGGTTAATCGTGTATCCCCGCTTGTGCCTCTTTTCTTTCCTTTTTCGAACTCTGATATTGCCCATGGTGGTGGCTTGAAGAGAGATAAATACTACTACGCTTATTTTCTTAAAGTTTACATCGCACGGCGAAGACGACGACGACGACGTCGTCGTTCCTCCTCCCTCATCTTATCTTCCTTTTGATTGCAGACGCCGTACGTACGGAGCGAAAGCGAAGCCGAAGTCCTTTGCACGAGTCGATTTTTTTGCTTTTTTTCTGTCAATACGAAGCATAAGTCTTGTTTTGGGCTGGACCTCCTCGTTTCGTTCTCCACCACTTGCTTCTGACGGGACATTATCTTGATTTTATTTCCTTCTTTTCTGGTTTCGTCCTCATTCTCAGCTTTTCGTGCGCCAACTACGTCCTTCTTGCCTCCTGCCTGGTTCTTGGGATCACTCGACTTTTCTTTTCCTTGGGCAAATCTTTTGCACGCGCACGCCCCTGGTTCTTGAGAGAATTATATAGTATATTTTTTGTCGCACGTTGCTCTGGGTTGTGGGCGCTATGATGGGTTCGCGACGAGAGATGATGGGTGTGGTACTTGCGCTACTAGCATGTAAGTCTTTGGTCTCTACTCTAGTCGATATGTGTAATATCATACTACTAGAGGAATGGGGTGACATCTTCAATCTTGCCAAGGGGTTTACTAACATATTTGTGTAGTCTTCTTGCCAGTTGCAACTGCGCAAAGCACAACTTCCAACCTCACTGCAGCATCCACTTTTTACTTTGACCGCACAGAAACCCAGTTTTCAGTCAATGTTGCGGACGACTCTGATGATATCTTTATCTATTTCGCCAGCCCGGCGTATTCGTGGGTCGGTGTTGGGTTTGGTCCCAAGATGCAAGGAAGTCTGATGTTCATCATGTATCCCAACAGCAAGGGCAACAGTACGTTTTCTCTTCATCTGTCTCGATCCTCAAACTTTCAATCCCAGAGAAACAAAACAAGTCGTACTAACCTCAAACTAGACGTCACTATCTCCCCACGCATTGGCTCCAAAGCTGCGGAACCTACTTTCAACTCTTCGATTGACCTCTCTATCCTGCCCGGCACCACTGTCAACGACTCAATGCTCATCCTAAAAGCACGCTGTGGCAACTGCCGCGACTACATGGACACAAACGCAGAGGCTTACCCCATGATTTACGCGTTCGGTAACGGCGATAATCTCATGTCCAACTCGCCATCAGCAAACCTCGCGCGCCATTTTGGCTATGGCTCCTTCACCATGAACCTGCGCGCTGCCAATGGACCTGGGGGCGTGCCTGCACAGAGCAATGCACCAAACGGTGTCGAGATGCAAGGAGAAATGACCCGTGATCACGACCGCGCAAACCTCGCTCACGCCATCATGGGCTGCCTAGCGCTCTTTGTTCTCTGGCCATTGAACCTGATTGCTGTAGCGGTATTCAAGAATATCAAGATCCACGTCATGTTCAGCGCAATCATTCTCGTATTCCTGGTTGTCAGCTTTGCTCTAGGCGGGGTCGTCAGCGGACAATACAACCGCGTAAGTCATTTTCCACTATTTATTCCTTCACACTCAAACATACTAACCACCAATAGTCCAAAGCCTTCAACAGCCCCCACCAAATCTTCGCCTTGGTCGCCATCCTCCCCTTACTCTTAATGTCGATCCTTCCCGCCCTGAAGCACATCAACGCCCGCCTCCGCAGCCTGCACACCCCCCTCGCCTCCACCTCGTTCGTGCTGCTCGCTCTAACCGGCGGTCTGGGCCTACATCTCGCATCACAAACCCGCCCCATAATCCTCGTCTACACCGCCCTCTCCCTCGGCATCTTCATGTTCCTGATCCTCATGCACACCTGCATTCACAGACGAGGCTCTGCGTATGCGCGCGCGCTGAACCGTGGGTCCAATGATGACGACATCATGCTTGCTAAAATGGACGAGTACAGGAATACTCCCAACGCAGGTGGGTATGGAAACCAGCCCCCGCCACCGTATCCGCCACCGTATGGTAATACGGATGTGGGAGGCGTGCAGCATCAGAGGAATGGGAGTCGCTCCATGTATGGCGGCGGCACGATGCCCGGACCGCAGTATCTGCTTAATATGCACCCCGGGGTGCCGGTGCAGGTTAGTCGAATGTAAGAGGGGGGTTTGTGAGAGAATTTAGGGTTGAGGAAGAGAAAGATTTAAGATGATGACGATGATGTGACTTTTTTTTTTGCATTGCGAGGTTGGTATAGCATGGGGAGTGCTGGTATGGTTCAATCACCCTCTTTTTGATCTTCTTTTTTTTTCTGGTTGAAGCGGCTTTTGTTGTTTTTACGAGCGAAAGATACCATGGTGTGTTTGTTGGGTCGAGTTGGAATGTGGATGTGTATGATATTGGTTTTCTATAAGATGGCATAAATTGGGTCAATGTGTAAAGACTTCGTAGAGTAAAGGTACTTGTGGGTTTTCTTGCCCGCTGATCATATTGAATGATCTTCAAACAGCGAAATTGATAGTGGTTGAATGCGCAATGTCGACCAAAAAGACTTGAATGGAAATCATAGTGCTTTTCTTAAGTATAAGAGGTATCGAGGCTGGTTCGGTACTCGTCAAACAGAGCACATGACCAAGTTCTCAAAAGCAAATACATACCTGCATCAATACCACATCGTTAATCTCCTACACATCTTACATTCCTCCATTGCTACTTCATCCCAAGTATCCCTTTACCCAATACCCCAACTTGTGCGCCAACAAGCCCGACAACCTGGTCATTTGCATCACGATGTCCCATATCGCCGAAACGCTCCGTTTGACGGAACAAGCACCCCACTGCATGATTCATCCAAAATAATTATACTTTACTCGCAACCAAACAAACAGGGCTGAGTAAATCCCCAGAATCACCGATTTGCAGATCAACATTACTGGTGTGTTTGCGTTATTCGCCTAATCAAGCAGAAACAGTCTCATCAGCATGAAGAGAAAAGAAGAGAGAAAAAAAAACAAAGGATACATGTTGTAGCCACGCCCTGCCAAACCCCACATTGAAGTATTTCTGGACGTGTTTCAATAAGGATGGATAATGCGACCGAACAAGTCTGTTAATAGCCACAGCCTCAGCTTGGCAGGTTTTGCAGTTTAAACGGGCGTTTATCTCGCACGTCGGTCCGACGGATGCGTTTAAGCTTTGAGAGAGAGAGAAAAATAGAGAGAAGCTGACTGCCTAAATGTGGACGAAGGGCGAGATTGAATATTGCGTCGACGGCAGAGGTACGGGTGTCGGCTTCGCAGGACATTGTACCGATTGGCGTAGGTGTATTGCCGGTACGGTTGCACACAGTGCCACGAGATGAGGCTACACGAGGTCATGACGCGGAGAGCTGCGGATGGTCAAGGTCGAGAGATGCAGAATTTGGCTGTGCTGGAATAGGTTACATGTGCAGCTGTTGAGCGCATCTCGATATCAACGAGTACAAAAAAAGCAGTGGCTTGCTTGCTTCTGGTGTTGTGCATCTGCCACATGTACCGCTCCGGGATGCGATGATCCCCGCTTCCGTTAGCGCATCATCGGGTTGGGGGGGAAGAGGGGGAGAGCGTGTGGCGCTGTGCTGGGCACGAGGCCTTCCATTCGCCGTGGAACGTCCGGAAACAGGACGATGGCGTAGCAAAACTGCCCCACGTACAGCTCTTCAAGGCGTGCAAATTGCGCAAAGATGCTAGAGTAAGAGGTTCTGCTTTAACTATATTGGCATGTTCAGGCATGTTGATAGGTGTTTCGTTGGCTGCTTCAGCAGGTGTTTCACGAAGGGTGCGACACTCTGACCAGAGGTGGTCAGGGTCCATTGGTGTCGCACGTGACGATGACGCGGCGCATTGTCCTAAGGTTGCGCCATCTGAGGCACTGCCTTCCTCTGATCCCGAACTCCTTATTACCTTCAATTCTGCACCATCTTTCACTCTCTTGTCATTTGAATCTTGTCACCAATCAATATCTACAATGTCTCCTAGCAAACTGGGCGTCTTTGCGAACTTGGCGCTGGCCGCCAGCGCCATCCTCATCCCATCGACCATGGACTTGGACGAAGGCCACGCCTTGGAAGCGTTTGCAGTTAACCCCTTGCAGCGATCTGTTGCGCTTGAATGCCCAGGATGCGCTCTCGCAACCCTAGACGGCGATTCACTCAAGTGGAAGGAGGGCGCAGGCAACACATTCGTACGTTGTGCAACCTAAACACCAAAAACGTGGCATACTAACCCTTGACCAGCGCCTGGACTTTGACGTCGGACCCCAGGATGAGGCTCTCAATCTTGACAGTGCACAAATCTTCCCTCCTTCGGTTGGCATGGCCTTTGCGACATACCATCTTACCCAAATGGATCCTTCTTCGGACGACGGCCTGCGTCTACGCATTACAGGCTTTGAATTTGACTTCAACGGCGCCGAGACCATTTCGGAAGAGGGTACTGAGCTTCTTCCGATGACGCTCAGGATTACATCAGTTGAAGACATGCCTGTGGATCCTCCTGTGCTACAAATCAACATGCTAAAGAATACCGAGGGCCGTCTCATGATTGCATCGTTTAACAAGGCTGAGCCCAGCAGGGCCGGGCCTTCGGAGCAGGAATGCAACCAATGGCCTATGTACTGCAAGTGGAAGGGCATCATGGCCGACCGTCTCGAACAGCTCAAGCACATGGGTAAGCCTAGGCCTGGGTGCCACATGCGCATGCGCCCCCACAACCCCATGGAACATGAGACGATTGAGGGCAAGCCGCCACACCGCTTCCACCCCGGCAAGCCTCATCATGGTGAGGGCCAACACCACCATGGACACCACCATGGACACCACCCTGCACACCACCACCGCATTGCCATGTTTGTCCGTCGTGCCTTCTTCACCATCTTCGTTCCCATTCTCATTGGCGTCTTTGCTGGTACCTTGACATACCTAGTTGGCATGGCGCTAGGATGCCTGATTGCCATGACGGTTGCTAAGTTCCGTGGCCAGAGGTACCAGGCCATTGCTTTGCGTGAGGAGGATGTCGAGGACTTTGAAGATGGTGATGTTGAAGAGGGTCTGAAGACGGGAGAGCAGGATGAGAAGGAGGAATTTGCTGAGCTTCCAGCATACGATGCCCCTCCGGTCTATGATGAGGCTGCGGGCAAGACTGTCGACGAGACAAAGTAAAATAGTCGGGGGGGTGGACTGGTATCACAGAATGGACGTGACGCATTGATGGCGATGGACAGACTGCGACAGTGTTTTCATTTGTTGATTTAGCAGACTTGTAGAATGGCTAGAATGTGAGATGAGAGTCCCTTTGTCTTGAATCAGCGTACTTTTGACTCGTGTGAAGTTGAGTTGAGTAGCATTTGTTTAAATGCACTGTTTCTCAAGTACTGTCTCCCGCCGTTATGTGGTTGAGGGCCTAGAAGAACAGTGAATAGTAGTTGGGTGCAAAAGTCATTGGGCCATGCTACTACGTCACACTGGGTGCGCGTAGTTGGGTTTGGGTGAAGGCGCAGATCCGAGATAGGGCGTGTCGTGCAAGTCACGGTCCACCATTTCTCGAGACTGGAAACGGTGATGTAACAACAAAACCAGTCATGTGTTGTATCCGGGACCTTCATGTATGATTTTGAGGCGCTGCAGTGGTCTCTGGCGGGGCGCACACACGATGCAGCAGTGGGGTGTTGGAGGAGTAAGGTGGACGCGTTGAGAATGAAGTTGGCGCACGGGCCACCACACAGCCAGCAGTCGCAACTAGGAGGCGGGCGCGCCTGCCAGGTCAGGGCGCAATTCGAAGTGCTGCTTTCCAGGCCTTTTGATTTTGCTCGCAAATTGTGAGGGCGGCAACTCAGTCGCTTTTTGCTTCCATGTCCCCTCCCAACCCGGTTTAGCGCGGCCGCCTTTTGCGTGTGTGATCTCGAGGCAGCCGCCGCGCCCGTCCCTCGTCTATATAACCAGCCCGCCCACGCTCGCTGTACTCGTCTTCTTCCTCCCTTTTCGCATCCCCCCAGCTTTTCCCATCTCCATCCACCAACCCCACCCCATTCGCGTCTATCACCACAACCCATCACCTTCCAACTTACCAACCCTCTATCAACATGACTGGACGTAAGTACATTGATATCTCCCTCCCTGCCGCTACCCTCATCGCCTTTCGTGCGCGTTGCATCGTTGGTGTTGCATCACTGCCTGCGTCTGGCCAGGAGGCGCGCTTGGTGTTGAGGCTCAACGCGTCGCCCCACTATTGCGCCGCGCCTCTTACCCAACCCATCCGCGCCTATCACCACCTACACACGCTCTACATGTACAGTATGCTGACATCTTTCCTCAGGCGGCAAAGGTGGCAAGGGCCTCGGCAAGGGCGGTGCCAAGCGTCACCGAAAGATTCTTCGTGACAACATCCAGGGTATCACCAAGCCCGCCATCCGTCGTCTCGCTCGTCGTGGTGGTGTCAAGCGTATTTCTGCCAGTAAGCATCACCAGCATCACTATCTCGCCGACCTCTCTCTAACATGTCCCCAGTGATCTACGAAGAGACCCGTGGTGTCCTCAAGACCTTCCTCGAGAGCGTCATCCGTGATGCTGTCACATACACTGAGCACGCCAAGCGCAAGACCGTCACCTCGCTCGACGTTGTCTACGCTCTCAAGCGCCAGGGCCGTACCCTCTACGGTTTCGGTGGTTAAAGTTCTCGTCACATTGTTTATGGATATGATCTGGTCACGGCTATTAGTCTCAACGGCGTTAAATTCATGGGTGGTATGGGAATGATCAATATATGAAGCTTCCGTCTTCATCTTGGCTAGTCAAAGTCAATGCAAACACGTTCAATGCACTCCATATCGCGAAATTGTGATGTTTAGCCTCGTCTTCATTCAGTTATGGTGCTATGTTGCGCCGAGTCTCCCAACCAACTTGCCACGGCTTCTTCAACGGCCTTGCATGTCCCTGTTACCCCAAACAACCCACCCTCTACCCTAATGCTCTCCAGACTCCACTTTTTCAGCTCTTCACTGACACTCTCGACCCCATCTTCAACAACCAAGACGTCATATCCCCTGTCGCTCGCCTCCCTCACCGTACTGCTTACACATGCATCTGCCGTGACGCCACAGACCACCAGATTCTTCACACCCTTTGCCCTCAGCGCAAGATCCAACTCGGTGTGCACAAAGGCACCACGACCGGGCTTGTCGATCACCAACTCCCCCTCTACCGGCTTCAACTCGGCTACAATATCATGGCCCTCCTCTCCCCTGACCAACAGCCGACCTAGTGGCCCTCGACTCCCAATCTGCGCCCCATTGACTGCACTCCTATGCGCCTCTCTGCTGCTCACCGTCGCTAGATTACCCTCATGTCCTTCGCGCGTGTGCACCACATGGAAGCCCGCTCTCCGGAAGGTAGACAAGAGCGAGGCCAAGCGCGGGATTAAATCGCTGAAGCGCGTGATAGAATAGCCGGATGAAGCGAGGTAGCCACCTGGATGCAGAAAGTCGCGCTGCATGTCTATGAGGACCAGGGCAGTTGTGCTAGGGTGAAGGGAGGATGTGTGTGGGAAGGGATAGGGAGTGGTGTTGAGGATTTGTGTGGTCATTTTTGGTGAGGTATCCTTCTCTCTCCTACTCTGAAATCAAAATCGATGAGTTGTTCTGTGCACTTTTGACCAGTTTTATTTTTTTTGGAAGAGGGGTTACGAGTACCAATTTGGATGAATCCAGCAAATGTTGGAGATTGCGGAGTTCGCATGGCTTGGAACTGCCTTGGGCCAGGCGAACCCAAACGCTGACCACGCCTGTTTACCTAAACTGAAAGATTGAAGTACGGTACTTATTGCTGCGAGGTACTGTGGGTCTGATACTTCATCCACTATTGGGGGGGGGGGGATCCGCAAGAATGGCAATGTAACATTCCTTCCATCTTCCGTCCATAAACTTTTGATCAACATTACTATGCCTCAACATACACACATCCCTCCATTTCCCATCACTTCCCCAAGTATGAGCATACAAAGGCACAAGTCGAGATGTCTGAAGGAAGAAGAAAAGTAACCGCAAAAATGAGCTCTTGGTACATCTTACCCTGTCTTTTCCCACTGCGACCCCGCCCCACCTTCTCTAGTACACGAACCCCGGTTTGCTCCTTCCTTCCTATCTCCACCAATCGCCATACATCCATCTGCTGCGCGATAAGCCCCGTTTACACCGAGCCAACCAACCAACCCCGATCCATGGAAAACCTCCAATCTTTGCAATGGAGTCTCGAGATTTTTTTGTTATCAGAGGGGAGTGGAGGGGGGAGGAGTCAATGACGCAGAGTCAGGGTAGTACCGTATCCGCCCCGTTCATATCGTGGCTTATCTTTGTGTTGCTTACAAGCTCCGATTGGGGGGGTATACCCTTGAAAAGGCTGGTTGCTGGATGAATCAGTTTCTTTCACACTTGGGATTTGATTTTACTTACTACTTTGTTTCTCGGGTAAGGGAGTAAGGAGTAGATATGGCGGATACGCTTGATGAGAAGAAGGCGCTGGATAGTACTGCCACCAGCGACGATGATGTGCTTGCGCAGCTGGGATATACCCAGGGTGAGTATGCTTCAGATGGTGGTCTTGGGTAGCAGGCTAACAAGATGACAGAGTTGAAGCGCAGTTTCGGACTGCTGGGTATGGTTGGCTTCTCGTTTAGTATCGTCACATCGTGGACTGCACTGTCTGGTGTTCTTATCATCGGCGTGGAATCCGGAGGACCGCCAGTCATGATATGGGGCTGGGTGTGTGTTTGCTTGGTTACGCTCGCAGTGGCGTATTCCATGGCTGAGATGTGTAGCGCGTAAGAAGTCCATGCATGGTTTGAGGGATTTTGCTGATATTTTTTTTTAGATACCCTGTTGCTGGTGGCCAGTACAGTTGGGTTGCCATATTAGCCCCTTCGCGCTGGGCTAAATCAATGAGCTATCTTTGTGGATGGCAAGTGCGAATAGGGACTCAAATTTCTGGGTTTGACTGACTCTCCTAGGTTCATGTTAATCGGGATCATATGCATGGGTTCTGTTAACAACAATGTAGCTGCAAACTTCATACTCGGGACTGCTCAACTAAACTACGGGTTCACCATTGAACGCTGGCATACCGTTCTAGTCACGTACCTGATCACATGGATCGCAGCCACCTCAAACATCTACCTCCCACATATCCTCAACAAGCTCTCCAAGGCTATCTTCATCTGGAACCTGACCTCGTTCGTCGTGTGCTTCATCACCATCCTGGCCACGAACGATAAGAAACAGTCGGCGAGCTACGTATTCAGCGACTTCCAAAACTTTACCGGGTGGAATGTACCATACGCCACCTGTCTCGGTCTGCTACAGTCGGCTTTTGGAATGTGCTGTTACGATGCACCGTCACATATGACTGAAGAGATCAAGGATGCGCGCAAGCAGGCGCCTCGCGCAATCGTCATGTCAGTGTACATAGGCTTCTTCACCGGCTTCGCATGGCTTGTTGCGCTATGCTTCTGCATTGGCGATCTCGAGGCAACGGGCAGCACACCGACTGGAGTGCCAGTCATTGAAATCATGCTCCACTCCACAAACAGTATCGCAGGAACATCTACCCTAGCTTCAATGATAGGTGTAATTACCGTCGTGTGTGCCAATTCGCTCATGGCGGAGGGATCGAGGGCTGTCTATGCGTTTGCTCGTGACAACGGTCTACCGTTTTCCAACGTGCTCAGCACTGTATCCGAGCGATCGGTTCCCGTGTACGCAGTCTTGCTCACAACCGTCGTGCAAATGGCCTTCAACTCTATCTATTTTGGCACAACAACTGGTTTCAACACCATCATCGGCATTGCTACCCAAGGGTTCTGTGAGTAAAAGTCTTCGTTTGATTCAACCTTGGAGAAAAAAAACTTGATATGCTCATACTGTTCTCAACAGATCTCTCATACCTAATGCCTCTTCTCTCCCGCATTCTGGCGCACTTTACAGGCAAAAAGACACGTCTAGAAGGCCCATACTCGCTCGGAAGATGGGGCATCGTGCTCAACATCATCGGCTTCTTGTACCTCACTTTCGTATGTGTGGTTTCCAACTTGCCCACCGTTACGCCCGTGACGAGCGAGAATATGAATTACACATCTGCTGCCACTGGCGCGGTGATGCTGCTTAGCTTGGTGTTTTGGATCATGACGGGCAGGAAGAAGTTTAGAGGGCCAGCGCATGATGAGCTTGTGGATACGAGTAGGCTGGCTGCGTAGAGTATGCAGACAGTGTAAAGCTGGGATGCTGAGCGGGAGATGAGCGTTTAGCGTCATGCTTGG